ACTCTAAATTTTCTAACATTTTCTTATGTTACTCTCATTAATCTTGTTAATCTATAACATCTACAATCAAACATTATTAAACATAATCTATCTACTGGCTATAAAAATGTTAACATCTGCTTTAAAGTTTTTCTAACTAACTTTATTTTCTCTCCTTACATACTGCCACTATGATCTATTAAACAAACCTATAATATAAATACAAAATACCAAGTCTATTCCTTATCTTACACACTCTTAACCTCTTTAATTCATCAACACAATATCATTGCTTTATATTGTTATCATTAAAGCAACATTTCCTTAAGTTCTCAATCCCTAATTATTATTATAGAATCATTTATACCTGAGAAGATGCTTTTATACTAATGTTATCTTTTAAATTATATTTCTAGGCTGTCATATACCCTTAACCTAGAGAATTTCTCCCATAGTTTAACCTATTATTATTACCTTAATACACTGTCTAAAATTTATAGAATGATGCTTACTATCATATCATCATCATTAAATCGACTGGGATTTTAACCAACTATAGGAACTCTTCCTTCAACAAACACTTCATCTTAAACTGATATATTCGGAGCAAATTATTGTCCCTAAAAATCATCAATCCCTGTGCATTGATTTCCCATTTTTTATATTAAGAGATTATTATAATCTCTCTTGAATAAATAAATATCTTTAAAAATCTAAACAATAATTCAAAAACTCTTATCAATCAACAATCTTCAACTAATCCTATTTACAAACATTTTTCTCATTTCATCTTGTATTTATTTCCACTGCTCTTTTTTTTAAATTCCATATAAATCAAATTCATTTTCTCTCTTTATTCCATATCCATCCATTTTAAAATACTTAACACTCTCTTTCTTCTATCATCTATATACCTAACAATGTTTATTACAACAAGATATATTGTGAATTATTTATTTCTAAACAAAAAAATACCTTAATCAACTCATTCTTGTTAATTAATAATTTATAATAAATTTTTTCTAATTATACTTCTAATTTATATGCAACCAGTTTATTATCTTCTATCAAAAACAAATATCTATTACCTCTCTAATAATTGATTTTTCTTCAAAAATTATTGAAGTTCTATTTTTATTCCATTTGTTAAAATAAACAAATAATTAATCAATATATTTTCATCTTATTATTATTCAATTTCAATAAATTAATAATATCTAATATCATTTTATGATTCATTTCAAAAATATATATTTTATTATTTGAGAAAATTCAAACAGTTTTTACTATATCATATCTCACTCTCTTATTTTAAATTTATTAAGAATTATTATAAATTAAATTTGATTCATAATTAAAGACATCAGCACAAAATATTATAAATAATTTATATATACTATATTTTAAAGATATCATTTGAATAATTAGTTTTTTTAATTCCATATATTTATTATAAAAGCTATTATTTTAATTGATAATTTTAGATAATGAAAGGAAACAGTGATGGAGAAAAGTCTAATGGAGTAGAAAATTTAATGATTGTATTAGATAATATGGATTATCATCATGAATAAGAAAAAAAAGAGAATTTTTAAGAAAATAATAAACTTAAACTGAAAAAACACAAAAAACTACAAAAAAATAAAGACAAACAAAATAGTAAACATTAAAATTTAGAATTATTAAATTTATGTAAATATAATAAAAAAGAAAAAATGAAAGTTATTATTATAGAAGAAAATGATAATTAAGAATCAATAAAAGACTTAAAATAGAAAGTAATTCCATAACTTTTAGAGAAATAAATTATTACATAAAATAAAGAAAAAATATAAAAATAATATGATAGTTCTTTTCAAGAAAATCTAAGAGAAAAATAACAAATATCAAGTCCAAAATTTATAAAAGAGACAGAAATGTAAACTGACAATAAATGCGATATAAAGAAATTAGAAATTTTTCACTTATTAAAGATATCTTAAAATTTTATTTTATCAATGCATAGTTTAACTGAAAAAATTATAAAAATGTATGTTTGAGAATTTACTAAAGTATAGTATTAAAAATTAAAAAAAAAGAAAAACCTTAAAAATCAATAAAGATTTGTAAATATTAATAATGAAAAAATATAATATCATAATTTTAAAGCTTCTTTTGGAATTGTTATTAGTTTTGGACTCATGAGTTCAAATTTTAAGGCAAATTCTGTAAATCTTGTACATAAAAACATTTCATTCTAGAATAGTAATACAAAGTAATTTACTTCAAAATCTTCGAAAATCTCTTTATGATTAAAATAAGTATGAGAAAATAATCTATAGAGTCTTCTTACTATAAATGCAAAATTATTAGTAGCATTTTGAGGATTAATAGAAACTCTATTATTATGAAAATAAATAACCTTGATGGGTATGTTTTAATATTAGTTAAAATAGATGTACTTTAATCTAAATTATGTATCATGTAATCAATTGCAGAACATTCTTATGCTTTTTTATGAGCAGCACACAAATAGAGCCAATCTTCAGTTGCTTTCATTTTAGGACATGTTTAAGCTGTGCATAATCCTTTTAATTATGTAACTAAAAGATTTAATTCTAAAATGAATTATCTTAAATGTTCATATTGCCAAACATGAATATCAACTTCAGGTGGTGGAGTAATAATTTATTTAATGTTTGATGAGTCAGCCCCTAATTTATGAAAATTTAGAATACTTATTAATTCTTATATGTATTCTTAGACTGCCAATGGTCCATTCATTTATGAGATATCTTCAACATCCCCTAAAATTTTACTAAAAATAATACAGGCCCATAGAAATTCAGCTTTTGTTCCTATTCTATTTCTACGCATTTTTGAAATTCAAATATAAATTTATATATATTAATAATGATAATTATAAATCAATATTTCTTAGATCTACTTTTTTTAGGGGTTCTAGATCTTTCATGTCTATCATTTCTATCTATTTTATCTGATTTTTCGTATTTGATAGCTATATTTTTAACAAGTTATGCATATTAAAGAGAAAGTTCATCTTCTTTTTAAATTGGAAATACTTTTATAGCAGTATTCAATAGATATAAATCTCTTTAATGTACTTTTTTATATTATTTATAGAGATCTTAAATATCCTTTACCTATTTTCTAAAAATATCAGAAATAAACTTAGATTTAAATATTAAGGCTTCACCAGTACAATGGTACTAATTTTACAACAATTTTTCATTGCTAGATTAATTATTATATTATTCATATAAATTTTCAACTTAAAATTTAAAACCAAAATCAACGACTTTATCATCAACAGGTATAAATATTCCACCTAAATCAATTGGATAAACATCTTTGGTTTGTCGTCTAATTTCCTAAGCAGAATTAAATATGGTTTCTTTAGAATTATCACATTTGTCAGCATATGATTGTCTTTATTTTCTATAAGCCTCTGTTAATTAGGTAATTTTATGCACATAAATTTACATAGTATGTTCATTAAAACCATAATTAAAATAATCTGTGGTATTTGAATGCCATTTATGAGATTTTCGCGGTTGTCTCTAAGGATTGTTTATATTGTTAAGCCACTCTTAATATTCTTTGTATGCATCATAAAATGATAATGAGAATGTTTCTGGCTTAGTTAGTTTGTATTGTTTAAGTTTATTATACTCACTCATCAATATTATTATTATTTAATTAATATTCTGCATTTAAAATCAAAAATAGCTTTTTCAATCAAAATATTAACAGGTAAATAATATGTCTATTTTATAAACACAAAAACTATTTATTCCTCATAATTAATTATTCTTAACAAATCTGTTTCCTTCACTTCTTTATTTTATTGTTTTTGTTCCAGGCTTCTAATATTTTTAATTAAATTCTATTTTTCCTTTAGCTTCATCTTGATTCTTCTAATAATTTATTAAAATATACATTTTATAGTTATTATTATTATTATAACTAAAGTTTTTATTATTTAAAATAATTTGGATCTGCTTCTTTAGGATCAACTGCCACTCCATCTACATTCTTTAAACTTCTTATTTATTTTATTAGAGTTGTTCTATATGTTTGATATTCCTCTTCTCCATTAAACATAGGACATATGGGATTTTTTATTAAACTAAGATGTGTTAATTTTGGAAACTTTAATTTGCATTCATCTATTAAACTAAGAATAATCTATAAAAATTACATCTCTAAATTATTAAAATTATTTTTATTTGCACTTAGAGTTACAAGTTTTGGAAGTTAAGGAAAATCATTTAAGTTAAAGTAATAATTATTATCAATGATTAATGTTTCTAAATTAGGAAAACTTACAAATTCCTTACCTGATTTCAATAAATTGCTCTAATATTTAAACATTATAAACTTACAGAAACATCTAAATGTTTAATTTCATTATTTTATGTTTGAGTAAATTCATTTAAATCCTTTAATTTCTTTCCAGCAAGAATTAACATAAAAATTAAATAAATTATGATTCAATTCATAGCATCATTTATATCATATTTTGATTAGATAAAAACAGAGAAATATTATTATAATAATTAAAAAAATCAATACTCACTATCACTTCTCTTACTTTAGCTTTGACTTTCAGATAAATCTAAATCTAATGCCTTTTTTGTTCTTTCTCTTGGGAATGTTGCATAAAGTAATCCATTTACTAGAAATAAGCATCCACAAAATAAAAATGGTAGAAATATTTGAGTTTCATATAACTTAAAAATAATTACAGGAGAAAGCAATTAAGATATTTTAGCTATGACATATGTAAAACTCAATCCTAATGCTCGTATATTACTATTAAATGATTCATTAATCATAATTTGCATTACTGTAAATTATATTTCCAATAGGAATCTAACTAATACTTATTATGGAATATAAGTGTCTTGTTAATAGAAAATCATCAAATAAGTGATACATAACAAAATTGATATAATCATCCCTGATTTAGCTCTTCCAAAAGTAGGACTATCAATAAAAAAAGATTAAATAAATACTGCAGGAATAATACCTACTTATTAAAAAAATAAGGATTCAAATCCCTTTTACTTTTCATGATAAATAAAGGGTAATAAATATTATTAAATTGATGTAGCTGCATAATAAATAATTTAAATTGAAATAACATAAATAGTGATTTTAATAGTATTCTTTGTAAAAAGAGCAGATATTTACAACTTTTTTTACTTAGTTTCTGAAAAGTTTTCTGCATACCAAAGAATTAAAGCATCTTTTTACTAATTATTGAGCTTATCAAAATAAGCACATTTATTTTCTTATAATATGTAATCAATTTCATAAAAGCATTCACTAAATCTTCCCATTGATAAATAGTATCGAGGATTGTCTCTACCATATTTCTTAAGATAAAAGTAAATAGATATTGTTAGTAAAGCATTACAAAAATGAATAGCATTATGATTTCCTGTTTCATAATCTTCACAAAATAAATACCATAATAAAATTGGATAACCACTTCCAATTCCGTGAAAAAGATTAACTAAAGCAGCCATTTATCCTCTATTATTCCTAGGAATTATTTCTATTGTTAACAATTAACTATATTAAGCACATATTCCATGCATGAATCCTTAAAATAAGAATACAAATATAATTATAAAGTATTTTTCAGCAATCGAAGCAGATAATTAAGCTAATGTCAATACTAATAAGGAATATTTTATAATTTTTATTCTACCCAAAGTATTATTAAATCTCATTACAAAAATTCCTGCCAAAGCACTACCTATTCTATGGACAACAGCCATGAAAATTACTTTATTCATTGTGATATCTAATTCTTATTTATATAATTTTAAAAGTAAACTAAGCAACAATGCTAAATTTCCAAAATTACAAGAGAGAGCACAACTATTTGCAAATGTCTGCAGTTAATATCTTCCAAAACCTATAAATTAATCCAAAATATAGTCAAAAGAATAGCTTTACATCAAAAAACGAATTAAATTATTAAATAAATATATATAAATCCTGGCTCATTTTCTTATAATATGTACTAAGACATACAAAATTTATTAACGTTAACTATATTTTTCACATATTTTTATATCTTTATTATCGGTATTGATAAAATTTCAAAATAAAATTCTAAATTTCCAAGCTTAAATAATGGTTTTTAATTTGATGATATATTTCTACACATCTCTATATTTATTTATACATTGAAAAGCTTAATAAGTACTATTCAAAAATAAATAAATTACTAATTCGACAGAGAATAGCATCTTTAATTTAGAGTAAAATATTTAAGCTGACTTTTTGTAAATGACAATAGAAAGGTAAGAGAATAATATTTTTTGGATTTATGAAAGAAACAATATATCAATAAGAATAATTATGAATCGATTATATGGCTTTAACTTTTTTATTAAGTAAATTCTAAATATATGCGATTATTTAATTTAGTTCATTAGCGAATCGAGAATCTCATCAAATGAAATTTTCGAGTAGAGATGATCATATTAAATAAATGTTATCTAAACTTATAAGAATATTGAACTTAATTAATAAAAATATGGTTTAAAAGTAAAAATTATGATGTCTTTTATTATTGATTGGAAAATAAAAAAATTTATTTAATACAATTGGATTTTTTAATAAAATGAAATATAAGTAAATGAAGAAATGGAAAAAGAAAAAAATACTAATAAGTTACTAAATAATTATAAATGAAAAATGAAAAATGTTACTCATTTATGTGTTTGGTTAATTTTTTTATCCGAATCTCTTTTTTCTAAAATATCTTTAATGACTTTAATCCTTTCAGCAATATCTTAGCCTTGAATTTCAAACCTAAATAAATAAAAATAATTACTTAATATCATTTTAGCTTTGACATTCAAAAATACAGGTTTCAAAAAACTAAATAAAAAACAAGGGAGCTTAATTTTTGAAATCTTCATAAGTGTATTCATCAGAATAAGGCCGAATACTATCAGATCTTTATTTCCAAATAAGAGAAAAAAGTCCTTTATTTTCGTTAGCCTACAATTTAATAGTTTCTAATTTATCATTAGAGTTTGCTAATTTTTCTGGTGCTTTTCTTAATTTATTAATTATATATAAATACTTAGATATTTCTGGGAGATTGATATTATGATTGACTATTTAAATGTTATTAAATTAAGTTTTATCTTATTATTATTGATCATTATTAATTTAAGAGTATTTAGGATTGTCAATAATTTCAATAAGTTTGGTATCAATTTTATCAATTTTTTTATCTTTTTTATTTACTTCATTTGGAAGAGTTAATTTAGGTATAGCTACTCTTTTAATAGCAGTTCTAGGTTATGATTAAACAGTTAATTATCTAATTTCTTCTAATTTTTTTTCATCATATCTTTCACCTGTTAATGAATAATAATTATAATCTTCAATAAGTTCTTTATATTTTTTCATAGTATCATCTGATTCCCAAGTGGTTTCTTCAAATCCTTTCCATTTAACTTAGTATTTAATTTGGCCATTTAAGATATTCTTTTTCATGATTTTCTCAGGTTCTTTCATGATTTTAATTATTTAGATAGAGAAATAATTGATTAGAGTATTAAAAATGTAAAATATCACCAGGCAAAAAATATAATGTATAAAATTAATTAAAATTATTGACTATAATAATAAAATAATATAAAATAATTATTAAATAAAATAAAAATGAATTTGAAACAATATAAAAAATAGAATCAACTTCCAGATATTGAGACATTGAAATATCATAGAAGAGTATAAGTTAGTAAGAATCCAAGTAATTTGGTTGAATTTGTAAATGTGAATAGTAAATTTACTAAAAAAATGGAGAAACTAGAGAGAGGTGATTGTTTAACTGACATATTTTTGAAAGAGTTGAGTGAAACAGATTAATAATAAAATTATGAATACTCACCAAATGAGTATATAAATTCTTTAGTGGTTCATAGAAATCCAATATTTTTATAAAAAAAGCATGCATAACTAAATTGAAAGTGTTTATTTTTTTAACTTAATGAAATATAAATTATACAATTTTTCAAACAACAATAACATAAGTATTATAAACTCCACAAGTATTATCACTTCTAGTTAAATAGATATAAACTCTATCTCCCCTTCAGTATCCCATGAATTCTTAATTTTTGAATGAATCTTTAACATTACCAACAGCTAAAACAGCATGATTTAAATTCTTTTCACAATTATCAAAGATTCTTCATGTTACTGGATTATAATATTACCAATCTGAAGCATCAACACCCACTGAAACTAGTCCAACATTAAGAAATTTAATTAAAGCTGCTTCTGTAGCTTCTAATTAAACAGCTCCCTTAATATGATAAGCATCTCTTTTAATTCTACAAGATCCCTAAACACAAGTCTAAATATTAATATAAATATAATAAATATGGATAAGTAGCTCTAGTTGTTATAGCACTTCTTTTAATATATAAAAAAGCTCTATATAGAAGACCACCATTGCAACAAAAATTTAAATCTTAGAATGTTGAAAAATCTAATAAATTTTATTAATTTACAACTTGTTGTAAAGAAGTAACCTTCTAATACTCCTGCAACTTGAACCACATTAACCTTAATCTTTTACATCTGTTACTGCTCCTTCTTTTGTCCAATCAATCTTATCTGCAACCTTAATATTCTTTGCTCCAAATCTTCCTCTGTTAATTTCAATGTTAAATATGTTTCATCTAATTCCTCTCTTGTTAAACCAAAAAATATTGTTTCACCAAATACTTTTTTACCCTCTTACAAATTTATTGATTCAGCATATAATACATTTTATGTATATACTGCCATTCTATAAGCATCTTCTGTTTATGAATATCAATTTTTATTTGAATCTTTAATATTTTTATCCAAAATCTACTGATTCTGGTTAATTTATCATCATCAATGTTCCAAGAAGTGCAATTGTACCTAATGCTATTAATGTTTTGACCTTTTCTTATTTTATTTATTAAAAAACTCAATATCATTACTTAACAACTCAATTTCTTTGTTGTTATTTCTAAATTAACATTTACATCACATTTCATTAAATAAATATTCTATATATATATTGATTTTTATTATATACAAATTCTATAAAGATATATATTTACAATTACATTTCAATTCCAAAAATCTATTTTTTCATTCCTTTATTTTCTCATCATTTTTACATAATAACATATTTACAAATTAACATCACATCCATGAATAAATCTAATAATTGTTATTTGAGATAAAAATCAATCAATTCATCATAAGAGATTGTTCTATATATTATTAATGCTATTAGCAATATCAATAATAAATTAATTAAACTTTATCTAGATCAATAAGTCTAATATAACATAGCCAAATTTGGCCAAATATTCATAACTTTTTCACAATCAATTCTTTTTCAACTCAAACTCATTTAAGAATATAATATATCTACTAATGCCTTTTTATAAATAACTTATTTATCCAAATTTTTATTAGGATATAAATATATTTATTCTCTATTTCTCTCCATATATAAATAAAGTTGCCATTTAAATATTTATATATTTAGTTTGTAAAATAATTACTGACTTGTTTAAATTATTTGTTGCACTTAATTCAAACATTGTAATTTAATCTATATCTTTAGTTTATTCCTATAACTTTAATCTAATTATGAGATACTAAATAATTTATATTAATTCATAAATAATTTTATGAATTCTGAAGCTTTATGCTTGAAATTAGCATCAAAACATTTTGATGAACTAATTATCTAAGAATTACTATGTGAGGGAGACAAGTCAGAATTAGATTATGTTAAACAAGTATGGGAACCTGCAGAAGAATCAACATCAGTTTCAATTGAATCATCAGAAAGTTGTGAATATGCAAAAAAAATACGATTAAAAAATCATATCGAAAAATTCCTAGATAGTTAATTACATTCATCGATGATTTAGAGATTAAGGGAAATATAATGAATCAAAATTTTATAATTAATTTTGCATATTAAAATTATAATTAATTACATCCTTTCTTCATCTGGTTATATTTTAATTATAGTAAAACCTTACTCTATAGGCTTCTTGGTATTTCAACAATCATTCTCTTAAAATTTAATATCAATTCATTCCCAATATAAAAAATTTTAATTTACTAAATTTAAAAAAACATAAATTTAACCAAAATCATCTATTATGACTCATTCACTTTTTAAAATTATCAGATTATTATATTTCAATATTTGTCTTGAATATTTTATAAAATCAAAAATTATTGGAGGCAATTCAACTCTAATCTATAATTTTTAGGATCTTAACTTCTTATTAATAATAAATCAACAAATTTTATTACAATAAAAAAAAAGAACCAAATTCTTCTTTTATTACTGAAAAAATATAATTCAACTTTAGAAAGATTATAAAATGTCTCAAAAAATAAATATTCGTTAATTAATAAAAATATTTTGAAATTGTCTTCCTAAAAATATAAGAGAATCAGATAAATATATTACCTGATTAAATATAAATTTTTTATCTAATTTGAAAATGTAAAAAAAAAATAGATGCAAAATAGGAATATTGCATATTTTATTATTTTTGTCTCTCAATAATTTGTAATTCAATATTCATTAATTACTTTAATGTGTTATTTAATCTTAGATTAATCCTATTTACAACAAATCAATTATGTTCAGCTAATAAATATTCTTTTTTTTTAACTACAAATATTAATTAAATTTATTATGTTTTATAGTAAAATAGAAGGATTGAAAAATTAGAGTTTTTTTTAATTCCCAAACATCTTAAAATATTTTGCCAATGTATTTGAATATCAGATGATATAACTTGAAAATTCAAGACTTGTTTGCTAACTTATTTTATTTATTCTAAGTAAAATTTATCCATTAAAAAATAATTATAAATTAATTAAACATATTTTTTTATTTTTTACTTAATAGATTATTTTTTTTGCTCACAATTAGTATACTACTGTTTTTGACACAGAAATTTCAAATAAGAATTACCTAATTGTATATTTAAAACTAGAACATAAGAATCATTCAATGTAAATGAATATATTTTGATAAGCCTTTAAAATTTATGTTATCATCTGCTTTATATGTGAATTATGATATTTTTTATTCATCTGACTTAAAAAAATAAAATAAAATTTATATTATGTTTATCTATAATCAAACTCAAAATTTGAGTTCAAAATTAAGTGCCACGAGCAACTTCTTCTAAAACTTCTTTAGCAGGACACTAATTCAAATGTTTTGGATCAAATTCTTTGCGATATTCACTATTATATTAACCATTATAAGAAGGATTTTAATTGGACTATTAGATATTGTATAAATTTACATTTTATTGTCCTTTAGCACTTTATGTCTTTTCTGGTTTGTATGGTTTATATGATGATTTTGCTATTGATTCAGCATAAAATTGTAAATCTGGGGGTGATAAAGGTGATCTACAATGATTATAGTTAATTTACTTTGATGCTTTATTCATATTTTTACAACTTTATGCTGGAACTGTTTATGCTCCCTAGTAACTATCCTTATAAATGCTTTTTCCCATAAATGGCATTTCTTTAATTACAGTAGGGTTGTTCTATGGTAATAATTAAGGTGTATCACCCATTCCCCAATTTAAATACATATTATTATATGTTGAAATTCCAGAGAAAGGAACGCCACTTACAGTAGGCTTAGCAGAATTTTTTTGCAATTCTACTTTGCTATTATATCCTGGAAAATCATGCTAAAATCATATACTACATCTACTTACTTTGTAAGTTGTGACATTACCTAAATCACCTTCAGGTTTAGGCTATTAAAAAATATTTTAGTTGCATCTTGATCCATTCTCAGGAGTCTTTTTCACAAATTCCTTCTGATATATAGTATAATTTCCATGTAATTATGGTTTATTGATACAATTCTTACCATTACATTTATGTTTTCCACAGTTACATAATGAACATAAGCATTTTCCTATTATTAATTAAATTTTAATTTCTTACCACCTAAATGATCGAAATATTAGGAAACTTCTGTTTAGTTATCTCTATTTGTTTAAGAACTCATTATTCTTTCATAGACTTCCTAAATATATGATTTATTATGTCATACTTTCTTTTTTGAGGATAATTGATCATTTTCTATTGTCTATGATTAATTTATAGAACATGCTTTATTTTATTAATTTGGAGTTTATTATTAATCTAAATTTGCCTTGCATAATTTTGGAGTTTAATAAGCCATTTTATTAATCAAATAATTTATATTTATATTGATAATATTTTGCATACATATTTTTTAACTATTGGTCTCTTAATATAAAACTCATTTAACCTAATTACTATTATTCATTTATTCTAAATAAGGGAAGCACTTTGATAATGAAGATTCTTAGTTAGTTTTTAAGAATATTAACTCATCGGTTGGTACATAAAGAACATCATATTCTTAATAGGTTTCCCTCTATATTTATTTTAAGGTGGATCTAATCAATATTTCTATGCGATAATTAAAATTGAAATCATTTATTATCTAAAGTAATTCTTTAGTAATCTTAGATTTGGTTTTAGATTATGCCTACCATTAAAGATTCAATCTTTAAATTATCGATTGGCCTCCTTCTTTATTAGACTAAGTTGAGTAATTAAACATTTTACTTCATCAGATTAGTAGTTGGAATAATTAGTTCTTATTATAGGGATATATTTTAAGTTTAATATTTTTAGAATAACATCTGAGCTTAACGAAGTGATTAAATTAAATCTCTATTTCTAGATGCATCTTAAAGGTTCATCCTAATATAGATTAATAGAGATTGAATAGCTTACAAAGTATAAGAAATGACATTCCTTTGGATTGAATTTAGATAAATGATCATACAGGACCTGAGAATATTGTTCAGAAATTTCATTAGTCAATTTGAACTCTATTTTTGGTAAAACCTCATGCTTATTGACCATGAACCTTATAATTACAATTTCATTATTGTAAGTCTCATTAACTTAGATGAATTACATCTAATCCATGTTGTTATTATTTGATGCTTTGATTTACGATTTATTTTATTAAAGAAAAGTAATACATACAGAACCTAGAAAGAACCAACTAAATGTATAAGTTGATCAAATTTTAATATCAATATACCATAATTTTAAGTAGAAAATATAATTATTTTTGCTTCAAGTAAAATAATTTTCAAAGTAAAAATTTGGTTGTTTTCTAAAAATAAAATTCATTATTATAAGTTTATACTCCTCTCATGATTAGTTAATATTCTCAATTTTATATTATATAATATAAATAAGCAACTTTTTAACATTTTAATTTTGAGATCTTTTATTTTTATAATAAAAGAACATAATTAAAAATAAACATCCTCATCAAAATTACTTATTTAGAGATACAAACAAACAAAAAGGATTTACATTCAATACCTTTTCTATTTATAAATAGTCTCTTCAAATATTTTTCATAAAATTAAAAAAACTTAATTCAAATTAAAATTTAACAACATCATTTATACATTCTTTGATATTATGGATATAATTTAACATTAGAATCATTGTTTCAATCAGACACTAAATATTTAAATTTTGATGAAAAATTGAATGAATAGGAAGGATTTTAGTTATTAAATATTTTAATTGAAGATAAATTGATTTAATAAAATTATTAGAGCTCATAGAAAAAAAAATAAGATGGATTTATAAATGAGCAAAAATGATTTCGCAGAATGAAATTTTAGTTGCGGAGTGATTCTGATCAAATGTTTAGAATTTGTATTTGGTTTCAAAGAATTTTAATGGATGATTAAATATTTCTACTATGTTTAATACGAAATGTATGTTATTTAAAAAATGATACTTGCCAGTGGATAAAAGATAAAAAATTCACGAAACGAAAAAATAAAAAAAGTTCGGACGTTTGTGTTAGAATTATTTACTACAGAATAAAAGAATACAAAATAATCTAAATGTATTAACTGTTTCACCCAAAAAAATAAAAATAGTTGACTTATTAACTTATTTTTGATTACAAGAAAATTATAATTATATTACTCTCACTTTGTATTAATATATGAATATAAATTTTATATGTAATTTTATATACTAATAATTCTGATTTATGTCTTTATTGAATTGTTATTTCTATTAGTTCATCATTTAACTTATCATATTTAAATATTAAATCGAACTTTATTAAGTTTCATTTGTATAGATTATCATATAATAAATGTTATTAAATTATAAAATATCCATTCCTTCTTTTAGTATAAGCGAAGAAGATGGCAGGACAACTCATTATTAAATAAAAATTTAAAATGAAACTAAAGAATGGATTGTTTAAAAGAGGTATTGAATAAATTGTAATAGATATTCGGAGTTTAAAAAGTTAAAGGACAGTTTAACATAATATTTTGGAGATATTTTNAAAGAAAAGTAATACATACAGAACCTAGAAAGAACCAACTAAATGTATAAGTTGATCAAATTTTAATATCAATATACCATAATTTTAAGTAGAAAATATAATTATTTTTGCTTCAAGTAAAATAATTTTCAAAGTAAAAATTTGGTTGTTTTCTAAAAATAAAATTCATTATTATAAGTTTATACTCCTCTCATGATTAGTTAATATTCTCAATTTTATATTATATAATATAAATAAGCAACTTTTTAACATTTTAATTTTGAGATCTTTTATTTTTATAATAAAAGAACATAATTAAAAATAAACATCCTCATCAAAATTACTTATTTAGAGATACAAACAAACAAAAAGGATTTACATTCAATACCTTTTCTATTTATAAATAGTCTCTTCAAATATTTTTCATAAAATTAAAAAAACTTAATTCAAATTAAAATTTAACAACATCATTTATACATTCTTTGATATTATGGATATAATTTAACATTAGAATCATTGTTTCAATCAGACACTAAATATTTAAATTTTGATGAAAAATTGAATGAATAGGAAGGATTTTAGTTATTAAATATTTTAATTGAAGATAAATTGATTTAATAAAATTATTAGAGCTCATAGAAAAAAAAATAAGATGGATTTATAAATGAGCAAAAATGATTTCGCAGAATGAAATTTTAGTTGCGGAGTGATTCTGATCAAATGTTTAGAATTTGTATTTGGTTTCAAAGAATTTTAATGGATGATTAAATATTTCTACTATGTTTAATACGAAATGTATGTTATTTAAAAAATGATACTTGCCAGTGGATAAAAGATAAAAAATTCACGAAACGAAAAAATAAAAAAAGTTCGGACGTTTGTGTTAGAATTATTTACTACAGAATAAAAGAATACAAAATAATCTAAATGTATTAACTGTTTCACCCAAAAAAATAAAAATAGTTGACTTATTAACTTATTTTTGATTACAAGAAAATTATAATTATATTACTCTCACTTTGTATTAATATATGAATATAAATTTTATATGTAATTTTATATACTAATAATTCTGATTTATGTCTTTATTGAATTGTTATTTCTATTAGTTCATCATTTAACTTATCATATTTAAATATTAAATCGAACTTTATTAAGTTTCATTTGTATAGATTATCATATAATAAATGTTATTAAATTATAAAATATCCATTCCTTCTTTTAGTATAAGCGAAGAAGATGGCAGGACAACTCATTATTAAATAAAAATTTAAAATGAAACTAAAGAATGGATTGTTTAAAAGAGGTATTGAATAAATTGTAATAGATATTCGGAGTTTAAAAAGTTAAAGGACAGTTTAACATAATATTTTGGAGATATTTTACCAGAATTACCAAAAAAGAAGTACATAACATTTTTAATTGGCAAATCTGATTAAGAATTAGATTAAAGGAGATAGGAGTTAGAAAAGTTTTTACATGTTCTTTCTAGAGATGAAAAAATAATAAATAGTGGTTAATTTTAGAGTTTTATAAATTTAACTTAAAGCAAAGTATCAGTTACCATATTGCAAAATTTTAAATTTGGAATAAGAGATTTTTATTATAGTGAAGATTTACTGATAATATTAAACGCAGAAACAAATGCTTTAAGCAGAATAGATGCATATATTTAGAATATAATTGATGATTAAGCAATAGTTCCAGTAGGTTCAATTGAATGTTGGGAACACTCTCAGAAGAGTTGGACAAAAAAATATAATTCTTAAGCTATTTGTTTATATTTTCATAATTAATCACTTTTGATTGGTTTGGATAATGGAATGATAAATTATATAACAATATTACCAGGAAAAATTAATACAAGTTATGAAATAGAGTAGCATGAAGGTAGAGTAATGGGAGTACATTTGTTTAATTAATTTATTTATTCAGTTAGTAAGGATTAAAACTATAGGGTAGTGAATTTTTAAACAGGAAAATTGGAAGTTGATTATCATCATAATTTTGAATTAACCTGTTTAAAATTTAATGAAATAAGAAATTGTGCATTTATAGGAGATAGAAATGGATAAATTATGATATTTTAAAATTCTATAAAATTAGTTACATTAGACTTTAATGATTAATTTGTAAGAGACTTAACAATAGATCCAATAAAGAATTATTTAATAGGAATATGTTTTTATACTGGTTCAACAATAGTTTATGATATTGGAGGAATAGGTTAGGTAATATTAAAATATAATTTAGGAAAAAAATACAAGAAAAATTACTCAATTTAAAAATAAAGATAAAAGTCGTTGTGTTTGTTGGTCTAGTAGTAGAGGTGAAGTTTATATAGGTAATAGTGATGGAACAATTACAATTTGGAGTGCAAAAGATTGCTCACCTATAAAGGAATATAAAGTCCATCAAAATGAAATAACAAAAATGATTTGGAATGAAGAAGCCTCAATTCTGATGACTTCTAGCAAAGATAAAACAATTAAGATTATTTGTCTTCCTAAAAAATGGGAGGGTGATATTATTATAGAAAAGAAAAAAAAAAGTTTAGATGATATAGAATAGTGGAATTAAATTAATTGAAATTAATTGTATAAATAGGATATAATTTTTATTTTATAAACTGAATTTTAAATTATCCCTAAGTATTTTATAAGATTAATGAAAAAAGATCCTTATTAAAAATATCATACTAGTTTGGATAACAAAAAGATTATCTTTTATGAAATTGAAATAAGTGAGAAAATTTGAAGAATTGAAAAAAAAAGTATCATAATGTTCTTGACTATGAGATTTAAATCATTTAAACAATTAAATTAAAGATTAAATGAATATTTTAGAAATATTATTCTCAAGTAATTCAAATATCATTTATTTAAGATATTTATCATATAAATGAAATAACCTACTTAAAATATGATAAGTCTAGAGATTATGCATTTTTTGGAGATAATTAAGGAATTATTATGCTTTTAAAAATTATTCTTGATACTAATTTACAATTTATCAGAGATCTTACCACTGAAACATCTTCAGATACTATTATAGATTAAGTGAAATACTTAATATAGTCAATTAGATGAATATGGCATTTGATGAGAATATTAATTATTTTGTTATACTAAACAACTGAAGCAAATTTGAAATTTCATAAAAGTAGCCGATTTTTTGGAAAGAATATAAGAACTTAATTTTTACTTTTGTAAATTAATTTTTAAGGTGATCTAGGTAANAGCTATTTGTTTATATTTTCATAATTAATCACTTTTGATTGGTTTGGATAATGGAATGATAAATTATATAACAATATTACCAGGAAAAATTAATACAAGTTATGAAATAGAGTAGCATGAAGGTAGAGTAATGGGAGTACATTTGTTTAATTAATTTATTTATTCAGTTAGTAAGGATTAAAACTATAGGGTAGTGAATTTTTAAACAGGAAAATTGGAAGTTGATTATCATCATAATTTTGAATTAACCTGTTTAAAATTTAATGAAATAAGAAATTGTGCATTTATAGGAGATAGAAATGGATAAATTATGATATTTTAAAATTCTATAAAATTAGTTACATTAGACTTTAATGATTAATTTGTAAGAGACTTAACAATAGATCCAATAAAGAATTATTTAATAGGAATATGTTTTTATACTGGTTCAACAATAGTTTATGATATTGGAGGAATAGGTTAGGTAATATTAAAATATAATTTAGGAAAAAAATACAAGAAAAATTACTCAATTTAAAAATAAAGATAAAAGTCGTTGTGTTTGTTGGTCTAGTAGTAGAGGTGAAGTTTATATAGGTAATAGTGATGGAACAATTACAATTTGGAGTGCAAAAGATTGCTCACCTATAAAGGAATATAAAGTCCATCAAAATGAAATAACAAAAATGATTTGGAATGAAGAAGCCTCAATTCTGATGACTTCTAGCAAAGATAAAACAATTAAGATTATTTGTCTTCCTAAAAAATGGGAGGGTGATATTATTATAGAAAAGAAAAAAAAAAGTTTAGATGATATAGAATAGTGGAATTAAATTAATTGAAATTAATTGTATAAATAGGATATAATTTTTATTTTATAAACTGAATTTTAAATTATCCCTAAGTATTTTATAAGATTAATGAAAAAAGATCCTTATTAAAAATATCATACTAGTTTGGATAACAAAAAGATTATCTTTTATGAAATTGAAATAAGTGAGAAAATTTGAAGAATTGAAAAAAAAAGTATCATAATGTTCTTGACTATGAGATTTAAATCATTTAAACAATTAAATTAAAGATTAAATGAATATTTTAGAAATATTATTCTCAAGTAATTCAAATATCATTTATTTAAGATATTTATCATATAAATGAAATAACCTACTTAAAATATGATAAGTCTAGAGATTATGCATTTTTTGGAGATAATTAAGGAATTATTATGCTTTTAAAAATTATTCTTGATACTAATTTACAATTTATCAGAGATCTTACCACTGAAACATCTTCAGATACTATTATAGATTAAGTGAAATACTTAATATAGTCAATTAGATGAATATGGCATTTGATGAGAATATTAATTATTTTGTTATACTAAACAACTGAAGCAAATTTGAAATTTCATAAAAGTAGCCGATTTTTTGGAAAGAATATAAGAACTTAATTTTTACTTTTGTAAATTAATTTTTAAGGTGATCTAGGTAATTTACCATATAAATTTTAAAAAATTTGTTTTATTCTGAAGTATTATATAATTACTAACAATATCTCATTTTAGCCTTTATAATTTGCTTGTATTTTGAATCTAATCTAAAAGGCAGCATTTTTTAATTTTCTTGAAACAGTATTTGACGAGATAACAGACATTTACATTTAATTCAGATAAGTTAAGATGATAATCGTAATTTTAAATACATTATTAAATTAAAATTTATCAAATCTTTTAAAAAGTATTATTTCAATCAAAATCTTAAAGAATCTAATTAAATAATAAATATTATTTAATTCATAAAAATATAATTGCAAGCTAAAAATCTCTAAACCAAACTACTAAGATGCTATTGAAAAAGGAATATATTAAAAATTTATTGTAACTCTATTTAATATTTTTAACAGTACTAACTTATTTCAAACTTCCAAAGTTGTTTTTAAAAAAACAACATCATTTTTATTAAAATAAATGACTAAATTATCCATTATTAAATTATCTATTAATATAATTTATAAATCTAATCAAAAATAATATTTTAACATGGAATTTTTCAAATTTTAATAGTCTAATATGATATATTAAGTGTAAATATTGGAATTTAAATAAAACTTAAAATAATGAAAGAAAATTTTTTTACAGATAATAAAATTAAGAATGTATAATAGATAAAATAACTTTTTCAAATTTTTAATGGTCAAATTAATATATTTATTTTTTTACGAGCTAATTCGGCTTTGTATTTATCAGCAATGCCATTATCATTTAAGGTTTTTATTTTGGTGTCCTTGATATTTTCTAAAAGTTTTTTCTCATTCAGCATTTTATCCCTAATTTTCTTACCTTCTTCTAATCTAATAAATAAATATTTAATATACTTGTCTCTTTCTTCTTATTTTTTTTTTTCTTCATTTAAAGATATTTATTTTCTAAGTTCATCTGCATGTTTCTTAACAAGAGCTTCCTTATCATGTAGTAACTTTAGTTCATTTTCTCTTTCCTATTTTTGTTTTTGAATAACTCTTTAAAATTCATCTCTTTCTAATCGAGCCTAAAGATTATAGATCCGTCATTAATTACTTATTCTTCCAATCTTTCTTGTTTTTCGTATTATTGTAATTTTCTGGCTTCATGAACTTCATGATTTAATCTCATTTTCAATTCAGCTTCTCTTCTTTCCTTTTCTCTTGCTTATCTTTCATTTTATTCCATAGCTCTTTTGGCTCTTAATACATCTAATTCAGCTTATCTATCTTATGCTTTTTCTTGCATTTCTCTTAATCTTTGAACTTCACGTTCTTTTTCTTCCTTAATCCTTTTTTATTCCTCCAAAAGCTCAGCTTCCTTTTATGCTTTCTATAAATTATATTTAACAATTATCTCTTCTTCTTCCCTTTCTTCTAACTTTCTTTTTTCTTTTACTAAAATAGCTCTTTCATTTGCTTCTAAAATTTCTTCTTAAACTTTTTATTAGGATACTTTTTTTTGCATTGCCTTTTATGCTTCCTCTTATTATAATTACTTTATCTTTTTAAGCATAACTTATCCATCTCTTTCTTACTCTTCTTTATCTTTTAATCTAATTAATTCTCTTTCTTTAATTTATTCAATAATTATATCATGCCCATGCTTTTATTCAACTTTTCTTTATTTATCTTTTTCTTCATGATATTTAATTGATTTCAACCTTTCTATTTCCATCATCAAATCTTTTCTCTTTTCTTGAACCTTATATTGATTAATCAATTCTTTTTTCTCTTACAATTGCTTATCTCGAACAGTTACACATTTAGCATACATTACCATTTTGTTCATTTCTTTTACATCATCCATTTATTCATTCATTATTTCTGCTGCCTAAAATGTAAATCTAATCAACAAGTACTCTTGCAAGAAGTGAATCTTTCACAACTTTATCTTCCTCTTATTATTATGTCAACGGAACTTATTTTTTTTTTTCTTCCTCCATTTACATCATTCTTTATTTTTTAGCTTTTGCTGCAGCCATCTACTTCTCCTTCTATTCCTCAATCAATTTCTTTTAGTATAATTATTCTTCTTTTGTTGTAATTATTGCATTATTCTAATGTTATAAATGTATAATTTTCTTACTTTCATTCTTTATAATTCTTCTTCTCCTATCACTACTATTTCTGGATTTGAAGCATCACCATTACGAACATTTCTTACTATAGACTCTGTTTATTCTTAACTTCTTTATTTGTCTATTTTATATATTTTTACTATACCTTAAACTTCTTCAACCTAAAGACTCTTTTTTGACCTTTTACTAAGTTTGCTATTCTATCATTTAATATATATTCATACCATTATTGAATTAAAATAAACAATTTAAATAATAAATTTTATAAACCAATAAATTAATATTCCATTTTGATCTGCTATAATCTTTTTAATATTTATTTGTTAAGAAATAGTTTATTGATTCCTTCTAACTAATAACCTTTTTTATTGGTATTCCCTTTTATTAAATTTACAGAATTTCTTAAAATACAAATTAATTTATATAGATTTATATTATTCTTTTAATTCTTATAATATTTTAAATTCTCCTTGTTTAATCTTATAATTTAAATGCTTAAGTAAAATCTAATTAATTTAGAATTATTAGTCTATTTTAATAATAAGCATAATCATTAATAATTTAGTAATTGACCCTGATATCATTACCTTAACAATTCCAGAAAATCCTATATGTTAATTATTTTTTTTAACCCAACTGCCGATATAGTCAATATTTTATGTAATATGAATTATAGAAACTAATTGAAGAAGGTGATACATATAATATTGTCGTTGCCTTGTATGATGTTGGAACAAATATTGATGAGCCAAAGTTTAGCAATAGTTATGTTTGGAATAAAAGAAACTCCAACTTTTATTTTCTTTTAAAATTAAGTACCCTACATGTATTTTGGAAATAGGAGAGCGCATATTGTTATGAAATGGATAGTGGATGTATTATTTAAAATTATTCTATTTAGTTTTTTCAAGGTAACCCTTTTCCACCAGAAATTCTTTCAGAATCTCAACTTTAATAATTTCTAGATAATAATAATTAGGTCTTCTTTTATCAAAGAAATTATACTGAAGATAATGATTAAATTTATTAAAAATTCTATCAATTTGCTTTATAGAATAAAGATCCAGAAATACTATTTGCTTATTCTTGTATAATTTAAATAAATAATTCAAAGATTTTATATTTTTATAAATAAGAATCATAAGAAAAAACTTATTTTACTAAATTATTGACTTCAGAAAATCTGAAAAGATTTATTTAAAAAATAAATTACCTTTTATACCTAAATTATATTTAGAATCTTAGAAATTAGTATTTTAAGCAAACAGTTTATCATTTATACTTTCAACAATCAATATGAATCTTCAATATCAACTGAATAGTATTTTGAAGAAAAGGCTTTATAATTTAAAGAGATTTAGCTATTTTCTAAAATAAATATTTAAGATGAGCAATCCCTGATTATAATTGTATAAATTATTTTTTTAAAGTAACATATATAAATTTTTAAGAAAATTGTTGGTCTAAAAGATGATTAGGAAGTAAGAAAGAATAGTAAAAATGTCTTGTTGAAATATCATGTAAAATGATTGTTAATTCATGTACAGAATTGGAGAGTGTTTTTGAAGAATTAGCTAATAAATATAGAGATGATTAGAATTTAGTAATTGCAGAAATTGATGTGAGAATTAATGATTTTTCTGATATTTCATTATCCAAGATAGATACCAGATATTATTTTGTTTTTATCAAATAACAACTTTAGAAAAGCAATATTTTGGAATAATTTTGAAATGACAATTGATAATATTAATAAGTTTATTGAAAATATACTGTGAATTGTATTATAAATATTTAAATTACTTATTAATAAAGTAAATCNCCCTGATATCATTACCTTAACAATTCCAGAAAATCCTATATGTTAATTATTTTTTTTAACCCAACTGCCGATATAGTCAATATTTTATGTAATATGAATTATAGAAACTAATTGAAGAAGGTGATACATATAATATTGTCGTTGCCTTGTATGATGTTGGAACAAATATTGATGAGCCAAAGTTTAGCAATAGTTATGTTTGGAATAAAAGAAACTCCAACTTTTATTTTCTTTTAAAATTAAGTACCCTACATGTATTTTGGAAATAGGAGAGCGCATATTGTTATGAAATGGATAGTGGATGTATTATTTAAAATTATTCTATTTAGTTTTTTCAAGGTAACCCTTTTCCACCAGAAATTCTTTCAGAATCTCAACTTTAATAATTTCTAGATAATAATAATTAGGTCTTCTTTTATCAAAGAAATTATACTGAAGATAATGATTAAATTTATTAAAAATTCTATCAATTTGCTTTATAGAATAAAGATCCAGAAATACTATTTGCTTATTCTTGTATAATTTAAATAAATAATTCAAAGATTTTATATTTTTATAAATAAGAATCATAAGAAAAAACTTATTTTACTAAATTATTGACTTCAGAAAATCTGAAAAGATTTATTTAAAAAATAAATTACCTTTTATACCTAAATTATATTTAGAATCTTAGAAATTAGTATTTTAAGCAAACAGTTTATCATTTATACTTTCAACAATCAATATGAATCTTCAATATCAACTGAATAGTATTTTGAAGAAAAGGCTTTATAATTTAAAGAGATTTAGCTATTTTCTAAAATAAATATTTAAGATGAGCAATCCCTGATTATAATTGTATAAATTATTTTTTTAAAGTAACATATATAAATTTTTAAGAAAATTGTTGGTCTAAAAGATGATTAGGAAGTAAGAAAGAATAGTAAAAATGTCTTGTTGAAATATCATGTAAAATGATTGTTAATTCATGTACAGAATTGGAGAGTGTTTTTGAAGAATTAGCTAATAAATATAGAGATGATTAGAATTTAGTAATTGCAGAAATTGATGTGAGAATTAATGATTTTTCTGATATTTCATTATCCAAGATAGATACCAGATATTATTTTGTTTTTATCAAATAACAACTTTAGAAAAGCAATATTTTGGAATAATTTTGAAATGACAATTGATAATATTAATAAGTTTATTGAAAATATACTGTGAATTGTATTATAAATATTTAAATTACTTATTAATAAAGTAAATCTACAGTTTAAGAGTCATTTTGCATTTTATTATGATATAAATGACTGTATTGAGTTAAAATTTGAATACTATAATATTGGAAAGATATAAAAATATAATATTGCGTATTAGTTAGATTCTATATAAATATAAATAAATTTGTAATGAATGTAAATCTTTAGATAAATACATTTAGAAATTGATATATATGCCCAATAATTGATATAAGTAAAAGAAGAAAAATGAGTATTTTAAATGCGGAAATAAAATGTTTGAGTTAAGCAAAGGAGAATTATTTATTTTGTTTAAAGAAAATTAATTTTGATAATTAGAGATTTTTTAGTTTATGAGTTAAATAATAAAATATTTAATATGGGAAGTGCAGCAAGTAAATCTCTAACAATTCCTGTTATTTATACAGATTCTCAGACTAATAATAATCTTGCAAATTTCAAGACAATAAATAAATAGAAATTAACAATAACTGATCCTTATACTAAACTTTAATAAGGTTATCTTACAATTCCATTAACTGTAAGAAAGGATGATAATACAGATCCGATAAAGGTTGTTCATGGAGTAGTGGGATTAAAAAATTTGGGTAACACATGTTATTTCAACAGTGCAATACATTGTTTAAGTCACACTTAACCTTTACTTGATTATATGTTATCAAGAGTATTTGAGAAGGAAATTAATAAGAATAGTAAACTCGGATCAAGAGGATAAGTAACTGAATACTTTGCCTAATTATTAACTGATATTTGGAAGGATGAAAGAAGTATAGGAATGAGTAGTATGACTCAGACGAATTTAAGTATTGAGATGCAAAAGAAATAAAAATAATATGAGAATTTAGTAGATCCTTTGCGTTTATTGTTATTAGTGTAAAAATATTCAAAGAGATTTGAAATTGGATGTAAATTATTAACACATTTATTAGAGCAGGAAGATTGTTAAGAATTACTGAGCTACTTATTAGATATGATTCATGAAGATTTAAATCGATGTAAAAAGAAGGAATTAATTAAAGAAAAGGATTATATAGGTTAACCAAAAGAAGAATGGGCAGCAGAATCTTGGGGTGAACATCTTAAAGTTAATAAGAGTATCGTGGTTGATTTGTTTTAAGGATAATTGAAATCTTAAGTACAATGTAAAACTTGTAAACATTAAAGTCATAAATGGGAACCTTTTTTGTTTCTAAATTTACCTATTAAATAATCATAATAAGAATAATCACAAAAATAGAATTAATCTAAATTTATGGGAAATTCATAAATAAAATAAGATATCTCATGTGAATTGACAGATTGTTTGGATCTATTTTAATAAGAAGAAACTATATAATGGAAATGTCCATAATGTAAAGTAACTAGAGATTGTAGTAAAGGTATGTAAATATGGAAATTACCTAATATTTTAATCATTCATCTTAAAAGATTTGAGTTTGGAGATAAAGTTTTAGGTAAAATCACATAAAAGGTTAACTTTCCTATCAATGATTTATAAATGTCTCCATATTGTTTTAAATAGGACAACACTATTTATAATTTATATGCAGTTGCATAACATCTAGGTTCATTATAATATGGTCATTATTTGTCTATATGCAAACATAGAATTGATAATTAGTGGTATATGTACAATGATGATTCAGTTTTTAAGGTACTATTTAATTGATCTTAGATTTAAGATCCAGAGAAGACGATCGTTAATGACTAAGCTTATGTTTTATTTTATTAAAAAAAAACAGAAACAATTTTTAGATAAACTATCACTAATCCTAGTTATTGGCCTCATAATCAAAGTGATAAAAAATAAACACTAGATTTTAGGGATTATGAGGAAAATGAACAGAAATGCCAACCAGGCCAGAGTAGTCCTTAAAACATTACACGAAATTCAATTAAAATTGAAACTTAAGATTAGATTAAACTTGAATCTACCAATTCGAATAAATTTGAATTTTAAACTGGAAAAAAAAAAAATCTCCTTAACCCTACAATTAGAGAATAAAATAATAAATCAAATTCTATTTATAAAAAATCTTGTCCTTCTGATGATCATTATAGTAACAATGATTAATAAACTTCTATTACTAAAATATAAGATGAGGTATTTAAATAATTATTAATTTTAAAGTGGGGTTTTTTACCAGATAATAACAAATAAAAAGAAATAGACAAGAAATTAGAAAAAGGTAAACGAAAATGAGAGTAAAAGCTCCTCTTAAATGAATAATTAATTTAATATAATAGTATTTTTCCGTTAAATAATTTATATTCAAAATGAAAACAAATCAAATTCCACGCTTATTTTGTATAGCTGATTATGATAAGGAAAATTATCACTATGCTACCAAACATTAAAGAGTATAGTCATCTCTTGCACTAAGAGAAAAGTCATCTAACTCATTCCATACAATGATTCCTCCTCAAAAACCATAATTGAAATTAAATGATGAATCTAGTAATCGTACAAAAGAAGGATTTCATAGAGTAAAAACAGATTCAAATATACCTATGCCTTTACGTAATGGCAGAAATCTTAGTATCACAAGTGGAGTTACTACATTATTAACTAATAAAAGTTTTTAATTGCCTTAAAAAAATGATAATCCATAATGTGTCAATACATACAAAAAAGAAATCCTTTCATACATGAGAGAAAAAAGTGTAATAAACCTAATTTAATGTAGTGCCGATCAAATTACAAAATGAATGCTTTTTAATTTCAAACTGAGATTACCGAAAAAATGAGAAGTATCTTACTTGATTGGTTAGTGGACGTTCATTATAAATTTAAATTAGATGTGGAAACATTGTTTTTAACAATTTCAATAATTGATAGGTAAATATTGTTATAAATTTGAGAGTACTAGAAATACAATAGATATCAAAATCTAAATTTCAGCTTTATGGAGTTACTGCATTATTTATAGCATCAAAATATGAAGAAGTATATTCAGTGCCTCATGTTAGAGATCTGGTATATGTTTGTGATAATGCATATACAAAAGAAGAGATTCTTACAACAGAAGGGAAAATAATATCATTGTTAGGATTTGATTTACTTACAACAAGTCCTCTTAGAATGTTGAATATATATCAGGAGACAGCAAAATTAGATTAAAAAAATTATATGTTAGCAAGGTAATTAAAATTTTTATATAATATTTTATAGATATTTAATAGAACTATCAGTTTTAGAATATTAGATGATATAATTTTCAAATAATGTGATGGCAAGTGCTTCTATTTATTTAGTTCATAAAATTAGACGAATTCATCCATCTTGGAATTAGGATCAAATGGTTCCTCTTACTGGATTAAATGAAATAGATATTCGTAATTGTGCTAAAGAAATGTGCAGTTTATTACAAAATTAGGATAAAAAATAATTTGCATCAATAAAGAAAAAGTTTTCTATGCCAAAATATTATGAGGTTTCAAAAATAAAAATAGAAAAGAAACCATCACAAAATCTATCAACCCTTCAATAATGATATTTTTTAATTCATATTCTCCCCCACAATTAATTAATATTTACATTGATATAACTATTGAATAAATTTTATTTTTTATCACATTTTATTAGAATTAATGATTATATTTTAAAATTTAATAAATAATAATTCAATTATATAAAATAATGAGTAAAGCGAAATCGAGATATTCAACAGAAGAGTAAGCTGCTGTCTAATCAAAAGTAGTAATTTAAGTATCTATGTAAAATAGCAATCAGTTTAATTACCAAGTATTAAATAAGAATAAATAAATTCTGTATCAGTTATTGCTTTAAGTGAATTATATTAGATAAAAAATCATATATAGGGTGAAAAATAAACCAAAAAGGTAATATAAGTTATATTAATAGACACTTGATAATTAAAGAATTTGGGCATAAAGAATTACTAAACAAAGATAATAAAAAGAAGCTGAAAAATTAGAGAGATTTACAAAAGAGGAAGAAGAAAGAAGAAAAATTGATAAGGATGAAGAAGAATATTAAGAAAGACTTAAAAATGAATTAGTGAAAGAATCTAACTAAAAAATATTTGATTAAAGAGCAGAGTATGATAAAAATTAATAAAATTATAGTGTTCGTAATTTGAAAGCATAAATGATGTTAAGTGAAGTTGAGAGAACCAATGAATAATTAGTGTCAATTAACAAAGAATAAAAAGAATTAAGAAAAATAATTGAGGAAGAAAAAGAGAAAGAATATGAAATGCAAGAGTATTATAAAGAATAAGAATTAATGATGAGGAAAGAGAAATAAGCAAAAAAGAAAAAAGATTGTAATGAGATTTTAGCTGATTAACATAAGTAAGTTAAGGAGAGATATTTGAAAGAAATGATGCTTGAAAAATAAGAAGGATAATTGATTAAGAAAAAAGCCTAAGAAGATGAAATTCTTAGAGAGTATTAATTTAATATTATTATTTAGATAATAAAAATAAGATATAAAACATAAATAATAAAAATTACTTAAAGAGCATGAAGAATTTATGGAAAAGAAAAGAGAATTATAAGAATTAGAGAAAAGTATTATAGACGAAGAAGATAAGAAAATTGTAGAGCATGAATATCATAAAGAAAAAGTCTTATAAATGAGAAAAGATAGAGTATAATATTAATTTTAAGGTTTTAGGAAAATCAAAAATAATAAAAAAAGGAATAGTTAAGAAAATAAATATATGATCTTAGAGTAGAATAATAAAAATAATAAGAAGATAATTATTTATCTACTATTTAAAGGCATGCTGAAGAACTTAAATAAAAATAAGATGAAGAAATTAAATAAAAAGAATTTGAAAAAGCTTAAAAGATTTAAGATGCAGAAACAATGAGATAAAAATAGCTGTAAATTCAATAATAAAAGAAAACTAATTTATAAGTTGAGCAGGAAGTAGATTTTAAATAAAAATTAAAAGCATTAGAATAACTAGAATAAGTAGAATAACTATAAAATGATGTGTTGAAAAAAAGAAATAAAGATTTATAGGAATTCTAGAAAATATAAATAGTAATAGTTGATTTTATACAAGGAAGCTAAAAAATAGTAGCGAAGAAACTAATATATGTAGGAATTGAAAGATTCTTTACAAATGCAATAGAGAAATCAATCTGAAAAGTAAGTATATAATTCTTGGGCTTAATAATGTATCGAGGAATGGAAAGACAACGGCAAAAACATATTGCCTATGGTGAAAGCACTTTATTAAACTGAATGAATCAAAAATTTCGATTATATTTTATATTAATCATATTATATAATATATATTGTTTTACAATTATATTTTATGAGATTTTCATAAAATAAAATTTTTTATATTGTTTCTAATTATAGAAAAGTTTTATGCATCTAATATTATTGTTGCATTTAGATTGTCGCTACTTTTTTAAAAGATTTAAGGAAGACTTCAGATTATAGAATAACTTTATATATATATATTTAAGGTCATTAAAGAAGGTCATCGAATTCCTATACCTCACTTTAGCAAAGTCTAAGGAAAATGGAATTTCTCCTTCAAAATAGAAAATAATCATACTCTCTGCATATATTGACTAATAAATCATCTCTTCTGAAGCTTAGTTTCCTTCCAAAAATTTTATACAAATGTTAAAATCTTTGTAAGTCGTTTCTTGTATCAGGCTATAATTTATCTATTTGTTATGATTAAATAAATACTCGGATGAATGGGAACCATTAATTTTTATTCCTTAAATGTTTTCTCAACAAAATCTCGTAGTTCTTCTTTATCAATAACTTCATAATGGGCATACTGGCAATTTATACCAAATTGACAAATGCCAATAGAAAAGAAACATCTACATGGTTTAGTTCGTCTATTGGCTAAGTTCTCTATTCTATGTGACTCATGTATAAAAGAACACTTTCATTTCATTTAAATGTACCTTATCTTTGTAATGGCAATAACCTTTTTCTTAAAAGTTTCTACAGAATTTAGTTCTTAATTATTGTCTTTTGCCATCTGATTAATCATATTTATCACCAGGAGTTGCAAAACTCTTCTTTCTAATTGTAGGTTATTTAATTAGATTTTCCGTGTCCTAGTCAGAACCATCACTACAAGGTGATATATATCTTTAGGAATGATCTGTGCTATAATTTTAAAGTATTTTCTAAGGAGTTGTATCACATTGAGAAGACATTGAATATTTAAAATATTAATATTCGCCTATTTCTAGTTTCTCTTTATTAAATGTGCAAATGAAAATAAACTTACAAATTTAATTTTAAATAATATTATCGTTAAACTATGATAACATAGAAATTCATTTCAGATAGTCCAGCAAAAAAAAGAGATGAAAACGATGATCAAGATTACCTATTTGAATAGTTAGATTAAATCAACAAACGTATTTACAATTACTAATAACTGATCAAATAGAAGATCAATATATTACTTGGAAATAATACAATGAAATCTATAGATTATGATGGTCTCTAAAAATAGTTATCAGATCTTAGATTAGAGGAGCAAAAGTACTTATTAAACTTATTTTTAAGCTATTCTTAAATCTAATTAGATATAGATAGATAGTAAAGTTAAATATTTGATTACTATGAATCTGAATTCAACAAACTTAAAAGCTTATATGAAACCATCAATCAAGAGCATTAAGGATTTATAAGATAAAAATAACATGCTAACGAATTATATTGTTAAATGATTGAAACTAAATAAATTTTATAAGAAGATCTAAACACTCATTTATTATAAAGAGCGGAATTAGTCGGTTAAAAAGAAGAATTAGAGGAATTTGTAGAATAAATCAAAAATTAAAATGAATAATTATTTACAATTTCTTAAATGTATTTCACAAATGGTAAAAAGTATTAAGATAATGGAAATTAGATAGCAATATAAAACAAAGAAATTAAAAATTTATAATAATAAAGAGATGATAAATAACAACAATTAGGATTATAACATTAAGCAACTTTGCTAGAAGTACAATTACATTAAGCTAATTAAAAAATTAAAGTATAAAGAAATAAAATTATACCTTTGCATAAAAGTTTAAATTTACCTCATCCTGATAACTTATTCCAAGAATTTTTATAATAAAGTGATGTATAATCAATAGATTAAAGGGATTTCAATTCTAAATTGACAAATTATCTTTAATAATTTAGAAATAATTTGTTTAAAAATTCAAATTATGTAACTAATTGGGGTAGTATAAAGGAATTCATTACTTAATAAGAATAGTTTATAATTGTTTCTATGCAATAAAAATTAATATCGAATTAATTGTAAGAAATGAAATAAACATTAAAGCAATATGGAGAAGAATTATAAATTTAAAATAAGATATCAGAAATTGATACATAAATTGAGATGAAAAGATTCATGATTAAAGAATTAGAAGAACAATAGGAGCAATTCAAATTAAATGAGTAAATGTATTTTTTCAAATCTAAGAAAGTGCTTAAGATTAATTCCATAGTATGATTGAGTAATCTGCCTTAGAAGCTTATGATATGTACAAGACTTTAAATAAAGAATAGCTATAATAAATGAAAGAATATGAAGATTTTGATAAGATGCTTTTAAGCATTCAGTAGGAAATAACATAGTTAATTTAAGATTAAGAAAATGTAATAGTTTATTTTTAATTTTAGATGCAATTTTTGAATGTAATGAAATTAATTGAAAAATATGAAACTTCTGAATAGGCAATAAATACGAATATTTATATGGTGGATTAATAGATCTTACCATAGTTGAAATAAGTAGTTCAATAATTAAGTAAATTGAAAAGAGAAATTGAACATTTGAATTAAAATGATAAACATTACTTAGAGAGAACTAGTAAAATAGAGTAAGAAATTTAATGTATGGAACAAGAATTTAAGAAGAAAATGGATTCATTTTAAAAATAAGAAAATGAAATAAATAATAAAGTTTTTGAAATAAAATAATCAATATAAATGGTTTAAGATTAGATGATTAATAAGATAAAGCCAAATAAAGCTTAATTGGAATAAGAGATATTGTAATTGAATAATTAATTATCTTAATTGTAAGAACAGAAATACAATTTGGAGTAGATTACATATAATCTGAATTTGAATAGTTTAAATAAAAGTCCAAGTAGAAAAAGTGTTTTGTCAATTTCAAAATCTTTAAATTAATTGGCAAAATTAAAATAGAATATAACACCAATTAAGTAGATGAAATAATCAACTGCATTAAAAACAAATTCATCATTAAAATCCATTAAATGAAAACTTTTAAAATCATTTTTCAATTAATTAAATATGATTATCTTGAATTGGTGCTTGTTATTCAAGCATAGATTATTTTTTTCTTAAAAATGATCCTCTTCTTAGTTCTAGAATTTCGTTGGTTTTTTTATCAAAAGTACTTAAAACATGATTTTATTTTTAAAAACAGATAAATTAAATTTATATAATAAAATACATGTTATTCTGGTATTAGTTTGAGAATGAAACTAAAATTATTAGACCAACTAATCCAATAATAACAGAGATTATCCATTAATAAATTTTAAGCCCAATATAACTATAGCAAGACAAAGTAAGATTACCAAAAGTGACTAGAATTATTTGCAAAAGAATAATAAAAAAACCAATGGACCAAAATGATATTCATATTTATTACTTGTTACAAAGATTAACCACAACATCAAATTCATCATTTCTTTTTCTACTGTTGATAAACTTGCATAAAAACCAAAGTATTAAAAATAATCGAAATGATACTCTAAACCCATTAAATATTTCTTCATAATAAAGATTCAGGATAATAGTCAGTATTACATTTAGGAGAAGACTTTTCAAAAATAAATTGTGGATCATCTTAAATTACTTCTTAAATTTCACCTTCTATTACAATAGCTGATTTATATTCTTATTCTATTATTCCATAATTAAATGCTATTGCTCTCGCAGTTCCTGACTTATCACCTGCTACTATTCTCACTTTTATAATTGCTTATTTACACTTTGTAACTGCATCTTTAAGTTATTCATTAACTGCAAGTAGTCTAATATCATCCATTTAGTCTCTTTAAATAAATGCTTTTTATTTGGAGATTACATATAATTATATTAATATCAATTTAATTCAACTTTATTGATTATAGTTAATGAATCAGTGAATATATTTTCTTCATTCCATTAAGTTGGTATAAATTATTTAGATAAAGTAAATGAAACAGTTGTCCCCTTTATTCCATCTTTAGTTTTCATATAATTGATAATCTCTAACGGTTTTTAAAGATCATATGAAAGATTCCTCAAAATCTTTTAACATGCTAATAATCCTAATTTACAATCTTAAATTCTATTTTTTATCATTTCTTTTTTAATTCCACCACCGTTATCAATTATTTCTACATTTATCTTATCTTCATCTGCCCAAGCCTTTATTATTATTGTATTTTAAACTTTTATATCTTATTTTTATTCAGTTGACATTAATGTCAATTTTTCATCTTGTCCTTTCTATAAATTATAATCAAAACATTATATAGAATTTTTTATTAAATTTATTAGCACCTATTTTACTCTTCTTTTATCTGTTGTCAATTCCATTTCATTTTCATTCTGCAATTCATAAGATATTGTGATATTGTATTTCTAAATACAACTATCAAACTTAAATAAATCCTTTACAATGTTTAAACTCTTTATAAAATTAAATCTATTTGTTTTATATTCACTTATTGAAAATAATTCAAAAAAGTTGAAATTATTTTGTTCTATCAACACTACATTGTATTAACATTTATCTATCTATTTGATTAATTCAGCAGGTTAGGAAAAAGTGTATAATTTCTACAATTATTCCTCTTAACTATCAGGATTTTATGTTAAAGATGATGTCACTCTTTAATTTTAATTTTGAACAACTGATTACATAGGTACACTTAAATGTTAAGATAATTTCATATCTCCTATCATTTTCTCCGACTTTATAAATGCATCGCCATCACAAAATGATAATGATATAAAGTTGGTCTACTTTATCTTGTCAAATTCTCTTTTAATTTATTATGATATATTACTTTTAACGCTAATCTAATTATTTTTTTATCTGTACTATTTATTATAATATTTGACAAACATCATCAGCTACTCTTTATATGTATTTGTAAAATATAACTCTCTATTATTCAGTATTCTCTAAACTTATTTTTAACTTTTTTGTTTCTTTTTCTATATTCCTTATAACCAAAACTAAAATCGCTTTTTTACTATCAAATTCATCTTCCATAACATATATTGAAACACTCATTTCAAGCCTTGTTTAATTAATAACTAAATAGCACCCTAAAGTAGTCTTATTTGATAAAACAGAATTTGATCCTTACATGTCTCCATGTTATTAAAAAGCTGATAATGCTGATAATTCATAAACTTGATCTTTATTTATTGTACATCTTCCTTCATTTTAAGGAGAAATAATTGACATTTAATCCTCTTAAATTCCTTAAATTCCATCAAAACCATATTTATATTATTTTTACTTTGCTTATTCTAATTTACCTGCTGAACTTTCAGAAAAAAAGTTTTTTTCTAACCAACTGAATAGTGAATTAGTTTCAACTATTTCTGACAATAAATTGATTGATTATTATAAATTAGTTGTTTAACTAGTTATCATTAAATTTTGAAATAATTGGGATATTGAAATTTTGTAATCACCTAAAGATTTTTTCATTGCATAATTCTATTCACTTGAATTTATACTTTCTGTTAAAGAATATTTGTTCACATCCATCTTGCAAATCCATTCATCTGTCTACTATTGATATTATTCCCAATTTGATTTTTGTTGATATTATTATAATTATTATTATTGTATTTAAACTATTGTTGTTTAACATTTTTTTAATTCAAATTAGTTATGTTTCAAATCTGTTTAATAATCATCTTACTTTTTAGTTTAATTTTACATTTCAATATTATCATTTATACCTAAAATAATTGAAACAATTATGAATATTGTTATCAAAGCTATCTTATTTTCTCTTTTTTAGTTCATCAAATTTACTATTATCAAACCCAATATTACAATAACTTATATAATTGTTTTAGACTTCAAATAAAACTTTTTCGAATCATTAATATATAATTTGTTTGTATAAATTCCATTTAATAATCCAAATAAAAAGTAGACAAACTCTCTTTCATTAATTCCGAAAAGAAACATTCTCTTTACGATGAGGGCCCAAAAAAAAAAAGAAGACAAATCACCTATTTAATCTAGATACAATACCTTTATTCCAATGAAAATATTTAGTTATGTATATTAATGCAAATAATATACCGCAAGGAATAAATACTAAATCCCAAATTAAGGTCCCTTAAATATTACTTAAAAGTTGTTCTAATGTTGCAAAAAGTGAAGATATAGCTATGTTTAAAATCATGTGCAAATATTCTTTTGCTCTAGATGACTAATCAAACATAAAATTAAAATTTCTTTATTATTTTTGTAAATTTAGCAAATAAAAAAAATTATCATCATCTATTATTTGTTTTTATAATTTTTAAAGTTGCATCTAAATTGAATTTTATTTAAGTTAGTAAATTTTAGAATTTCTTAAAATAAGTTGATTTATAAGTCAAAATGAATTCTAGTTCAAATTGAAAAGGCTGAAAAAATAAACATAGGCTGATTTAATGTATTAGATAATTTGAAAACAAAAAAAATATGTATTTTGTGGTTTCATTTACAAAAATAATGAAAAATATTCAATAATTATTATTTCAAAGTGATTATCAAGAAAAATTAATATATTTAACATTTATTTAATTAATGAATTCTCAAAAAATAATTACATTCAATACCCATTGTATTAAAACATATGAGTTTCATTTTTATCTAAATCAAAAGACACATTACAAGCCTTTTTGCTTGTTTTTCTTATATCTTTATTGACTAGAGAAGGTTTTGTATTAAAAATAGTATTATGAAAAGTATGCTTAAGAAGTTCCTTCTCAGAATTATCAAATGTATTCATCATCTCTTAATATGAAAAAGCAAATTTTCTCCATACTCTATCCTAATGAAAATCAGATATTATTTACCTTAATAGGCTCTCTTCTGTTATTATTTTTCAAAAAAAAATAGATTAAAAAGCAAAAGATCATAGCCATTAGAAAATATTTGGGCTCCCAAAAACTTGAATTATCATAGTCTTTCCGTAAGCCTTATTGCGATTCCATTGTAAAATTTATTTATAATAATAAATTTAGTTTTAAAATCTAAAAAATGGAGTTAATTAAAAAAAGAAAACCATATACATTTTTATTATTATAGAAGAAATCCTAAAGAATTGATGATAGGATTAAAAGAAATTATTATTCTGATAGAAATTAGAATTCTAAAATTAATATAAAAATAATAAACTTTATATTTGAAAAAAGAGTTTATGAGTTTATTTTTAAAATAATAAAATAATAAGTAATGAAATGAGACATTAATTTTTGAAAGGTTTACTTTATGATTATATGTATAATATATTGATGATTATAAATTCTACTACCATATAAAGAATTGAATAATATTAACTATAATTATATTGATTAAATTTAATTTATATTAATATATATCAGAAATAAAAACGGAAATGAGACTTGTAATAGGATTAACTTTTATAACAATTATCATTTGTTAGCAATAACATAAATTCAATCCTGAATTTTTAAATTTAATAAGCACTGGAACTGAATTAGGGACAGCAAGAGATGCAATATAAGCCGTATTGTAATTATTAGAAGACCTAAAAAATGCTAATGAAGAATTAGATAGAAAAGTATGAGATCTTTAATAGTAGAGAATAGGCAGATAAAGCATTCTAAGAATATGAAGGAGGTGTATTGAATGATTGTGCAGCATTTACTGGAATAATGAAAGAAAATAATGAATCATTGTAAAAGAATTCAGAAGATTTAGAAGCAGTAGATGATAAAATTGCATAAACAACTGATTATTTGAATTGGAATGAAAAAAGAAGAAAGTCAAATGATATGAAATTAGAAGATTTAGCTGAATAAAGATGCGAAGCAAATTCATTATTTATTGATGCATTAAGAGATTATAGAGAAGCATTAAATGTTTTAGAATGGGTAAATGGAGATCTATAACTTAAAGAATAAAATGCATTTTTATAAAAAGAAGAAGCATAAGAATATACTTCTAAATTAGCAATATATACAAATATGATAGATCATAAAGAAGTATTCTCTTAAGTCGGTATAATATTCAATAAGATTTTAGAGATCTCATAAGAAGATTAAGCTAATTAAGTTGTTTCAGAAATTGTAGGAAAAGTTTAAGGATTAATTTCTAAAATATAAGAACACATTAAAACATTAGAAGAATAAGAAATTACTTCAGCTAATGATTTTGTAGATTATAGAAGAAATTTATTAAATGAACAGGTTCTCTTAAAATAAGAATATGATAGCAGAATGAAATTTTTAAATAGTTTAGAAGATGATAAAGAATTAGCATAAGATGTTGTAAGTTAATGTGAAAAAATATTAGGAAATACTCAAAGAATTTTATAATAGACATAAAGTAATTATTTATATTCTCTATTTTTAGATGCTTATAATTAATAAAAAGCAAAGTATATAATGGAGAAATAAAAAAGACATGAAGAAAACTAAATTATTATTGAAATTACAATGTTATATCATCAAAAAATTGCTTAAGCTGAGGAATTTTTGTAAAAAAAAGGAGTTTGATTATATCAACACTCTTCATATCTACATTAACTTAAAATTATATATTTATTATTAAAATAATAAGAGAATAAAGAATATTATTTTTATTATAAAATTTTGATTTCTCAAATAATAAGATTGTTAAAACAATCCATTATAATTATGCATTCAGTCTTATTCTATACTCATTTTTATAATTTGATCTTATAATTAATTTTGTTTTTCTTCATTATCACTATCAGTTTTTATATATTATGGCGTTTTTTTAATGCTTGAATCTAATTCTTCATAAATATCAGAATGAGGCATTGAAATATCTTAATAAATATGAGACCCTACTCCAGAAGTATCCATTCTGTAAATTTATTTTTGTTCCATGCTTATTTCTTGTTTATTTATTATTGATTCAGCATTCGAAATTAAAGATTCTAATTTAAATATCTTATATACCTCCTTGTATTAAACTTTTAAATTAAGGTAATAGTATATGATTATTATTTATTAAATTAGAAAAGAATGAACCTTCTAATTCAAATTAACTATGAATTGTTTCTAATTTTTATTCATCTTATTTTTATTAATCTAATTGTGAACTATTAGATTCAAATTGATTATTAAGTATAACATTTTCATCAAACTCTGAATTCTATTATTAAATGTTATAGTGCTTTTTGATATGAGAATAAAATCTATTTTTAATCATATTTTCCTTTATAAATTGTAATAAATATTTACAGGTCTTCCTTTAAGTAATTTTGATATTTCACTCCATTTTGGACCCATGTTTAAATATAAATTTACAATCTTTTCATCTTCTTCTAATGTAAATGCGTTATGATTAATCGTTTAATCTAATTTATTTATAAATCTTTCTCTAATTTATTTTCCATTTCTTCCATACATATGGTTTTCAATGGCTTTCCAATTCTTTCCAAATTTCTTAATTAAATTTAGTACTTTTTGATCCTCTTCTTCTGTCCATTATCTTCTTGATCTTATCTTTAATTAGTAAATTATATTTACTCTATTTGGATTAATTCTCTTCCATCTTTAGGAACATTAGGATGGATTTCTATTAGGTATAGATTATGCAATTTAAGTCCAATTACCCTAATATTTTTCATAAAATTTCTGTAACATTTCATCTTCATCAGGAGTCCAAATTTTCACAATTCTTTTTTTAACTTAGCATTCCAGATCAGAAACATCAGAATCACTATAGTCAGAGCTATATTTTCGAATGTTTTTTTTTGTTATCTAATCTTTTTGACTGTTTGCTCTATTTTAAAATATTTACAAATAAATACCTATTTCTTTAGGTTTAATTCATCATAATTTTATAAGTAAGATTGAAAAAAATAAATAATTTTATTAAATCAATAAAATTTATAATCAAACAGATTTCTTTTGTTTTAAGTTAAAATCTTAAGGAGGGGTAATGTTTTTTATATTGGAGTGTTATTGTCTTGAATATTCGAAGTAAGATGATATTATTTTACATAATATTATTTTGTTCTTGATAAATATTATCTTAATATAACATGTTTGGCTTTTAAATTCTTTTTGAATTTCAATTTTATATCGACTATATTTGAAATAGTAATTGGAGTTTGATTATATTTATTTATCTAATTAAATTTAAAGATTGATTTTATGATACTTTTAGTTTTATAATTGTTTTATTTTGTGTAGTCTAATTAAGATTATTGCTTAAATTGATTTTTTATGTGATACTTTAATAATTGTATTTCAATATGTATTCATTGCTAAGTTTTTACTTAAAAAGTGTTCATGCGTTTTTAAAATCACTTTAATGACCACATTATGAACAGATAAAACTTTTCCTCTTACTGTATTATTGACTCTTTCAATTTGTTATTCAAATTAAATATCTTCAAATCTTATTGTTTTTAGTATTATAATATATAAATTTCTTCGATCCTTACTCAAAATATTTCCCTTACTTTGCAAACTAATTGATCTAAGATCTCTTAAATTTATAAATTATAATACTTTTAATAACAGAAATATATAATTGCTTAGAAATGTATGTTTATTTTTGTGTGCTTGAGTCATGTGATAAATTTAGTTTTATAAAAAAAAATATAATTTATTGAATTTTGAAGCTTAATTAGCGTAAGAATTTTAAATAATAATTATTATTATTAATCAAATTGATTAACAATTATAATGGAAGAATTATTTAAGAAAATAGTAAATCCAAATAATCCAAAAATATTGGCAGTGGGAAAAAATTATGTAAAACACGTGTAGGAAATGGGAGGAGATGAACCACCAAAAGAGCCTATAATATTTCAAAAACCATTTACTTCTATATTTTTGGTTGATAAAGCATAAGTATTAAAATTACCTGAGCTTGGTCATGAAATACATCATGAGATTGAAGTATATAAATATATTATAAATTAAGCTTGGTTTCATGATTAGCAAATAAGGAAAGAATATTAAAAAAGAGGATTGGAATGAATATGTAGGAGGATATTTTCTTGCTTTGGATTTAACAGATAGAGAGCTTTAAGCCCATTTTAAGAAGTAAGGATTTCCATGGGATTTATCAAAAGGTTAGGATCTCTTTTTTCCTATAAGTAATTTGATAGGAAAGGAAAAAATCTAAGATCCATATGATTTAACATTGGAATTAAGAATTAATAATAATATAGTTTAAAAAGATAAAACAAGTTCTATGTATTACAAGATTGCAGATTTAATTTGTTATATTTCTAAATTTATGACTTTAAATCCTGGTGATTTGATATTAACAGGAACTCCTCATGGTGTAGGTCCATTAAAAGAAGCTGATTAATTAATTGGAATGTTGAAATAAAATGATACAATATTGGCATAAATTGATTTGTTGATTTAATGATTGGTATAGATATTATGGAATATATATATTTTGATATTATTTTTCATTTATTTGGTGTGTCTAAGTTTTTATAGACATTGTTAAATCTCCAATTATGATAATAATGAGCAGGAGAATAGTCAGAATATATATGATTAGGATCTTTTTTAGAATATATAATAGATGGTACAAATTCTTTTCCTACTTCAGTTCTATCTTTTAATAATAAATGAACTCCATCATACATAGATAAAAATCTATATAAAAAAGATTAAATTACTTTGTAAATCTACTTGCAAAGACAAAAGATTAATTATCAAATTCATAAATCCAATGATTTAATGTATTATTATCTCCTTAAACAGAATGAACATCATGTCCAAATCCTCTTACTTATGGACATACTTTCAACATAGGTAGAGTATTAGTTCCAAGATGAACCCATCTAGAAAATTCAGGAAATGCAAAATGTGCTCTGCCTGTAAAGAGACCTGCTTTAACTGGCCAAAATGCTATAGAATCAGCTTTATTAAATGAAACATTCTCATGCAAGAATTTTAATGCAAATTTCCAATCCCATTAACCAGATGGTAATTTAATAAGATTATCACTAAAAATTGATCTCCATTTAACACACTAAGTAATTCAATTTGAATACTTCTATGTTATCTTTTAAATACTATTCAATTTATGATTTTGTTAATTCTTTAGTATTTATTTATTAAAGTTTAGATATATATCCTCTAAATTCTGTGAATGATTCATGATATCTTTAATCCATTGGAGAATAATCTATACAAAATACACCAGTTGTTCTTTCTGGATGATAACATCCTGCTGCCAAAGCTACTTTAGCTCCAAATCCATGTCCACTTAATGTAGCCATTGAAATTTTGTTATAATACATATATCTGACAACATCATTTGCTAAATCTTGAACATCAAATGAATAATGTTTATCTGATGTACCAAAATTTCTTGGACTCAATATATGCACATTTCTATAATCTAGAATCTATGTATTATATTTTGAATTCTACTTTATTGTTTGGATCACTAAAGAATGGAATCCAATTTTCAACAGGATCACATACTTCTGTAAAGAATAACAAATTTGGTAAATCATTATATCTACCTTTAATTGTTACTCCTCTCAATACAACATTTTCAGATACATTCTAATATTCACTAACTCCTTTATGAAATTAGAGTGTGCTGAATTTCCAAAGCTATCTAAACCTATACATAGATATTTTAATTAATTAATTTTATTATATAATATCATATACTACTTTTTTATTTAGGATTGACATAATTACATTTACATCTCCAATCTAATAATAAAATTTTCTATATACTATCAGCTATTAAATTCATATTTCACAAACATTTCAATATTATTTATACACTTTTTTAAATTTATTATTATTATAAATCTATATTTCAATTCTCTTAAAATCTTTTATTTAAAATAATCTTGAGATTTATTTATTTTTATTTTTAATCTCTTAAAATTGTTAAAATCTTTTAGAAATTAAATAATCATTTTCTAATCATTTTTTCAATTTTATATTAAATTAATAGTAATTTTTACTTTATTTTCATCTATAATTAGAACTCAATCTTGCATTCTTATAAAGAAATTATTTAGAGTCTTTTATAATTTAAAACAAATGATCACACTTTATATTTTCAACTTAAGACATTGCTCTGAACTTCTTTTGTTCAAAATTCTTAATTATAGACATAATTTGATAATTGATTTAATTAAAAGTAAAATTTATTAAAAAGTGCTTTAAAGAATTAGTTAAAGGGAAATTCAGATACCTTATTTAATTTTCAAAGAAATTATTTTGAAATATTAACATAAATTTTATTAGTTATCATATTTTAATAAGGGACATAATAAATCCATTAAAGATTTCATAAGTAGGACTTTAAATAAACTTTCTTTTTGGCAAATAGTGATTATCTTTAAATAGTATTTTTTGGACTCTAAACAGGGTCAAAATGTACACTTTTTATTGATCTCTGTGGAGCAGAAATTTATTATTTATAAAACATTTAATTTTGAGCTGATTTCTTTTTCAGTATACTTTTTATTGCAGATCTTTAACTTGATGTTGATATTTTTGTGTTAGTTAAAGATCTTGATTTTTTGAGATCAACCATTCCTTTATGTTTTTTAAAGTTATATTAAGTTGTAAAGTCTTTCGTTTCAGTCTAAATTTAATAAGAAGCAGAGGAAGATTTGATTCTCTTATTTTGTTTAACAAGTAATCGCTCATATTATTCCATTACTAAAAATAATCCAAAATCATCCTCTTCTTTAAGTGATTTCATCATTTACAATGGAATAGGTTTTTATGGAGCATTAGCAGGAATCTAGCTAAGCTAATGAATTATTATCTTGATTTCTTAAATTGAATTTTTTGGAGATTCATAACAACAAGGTTTAGAACCCATCAAATGTAATGTCTTTTTGTATTATTTATTAAATTCTTGAGAAATTCTTGAATAACATAATAAAATTATCTAGAATTTCAAGGAATGATTCTAAAATACATAAAATAACAATTTTTAGGAAGTTTATGTATCAATTTTATAAAATAGATTATCTGTTGACTATTTTGCTTCTTAATATAAAAATTTAAAATTTTAATTTATTTTTAAAATATTAAATTATTCAAAAATGATTCAGCAATTTTATAAAGTCTCTATAATATTGAAATAAAAAAAGAATTAAATAATTTATAATTAAGCTTACGTAAACTTTCTGAGATTAATAAAATCAAATTCCCTTTATCGTATTAAATTTTTCTCTCATAACTATTTATTCATAAAAATAATCAAAAAATATCTCTATATCAACTTTCTAATATTTCAATTCAAAATATTTATTATAATATCTCTAAATAATGATAAGACAATTTTGTATAAGTTTTTGTACTATTCTCCCTGTTAAATTAAAGAAAATTTTCCTTTTAACATAATACTCAAATATATTTTAATTGAAATTTTTTCAAAATCTCTTCAAAATTCACTTAAATATTTCCAAAATACCTTTTATTATTCATTTTATCTTATTTGATTTGATATCTCGCTAATAATAAAAGATTACAGTTTTCCTATATTTAAAAAAAAAAGGAAATAAAATTCTTTCTAGATTAAATGATAAATATATGAACAATATTAAATTTTAAAGATCATAAACTAGAAACTTAAAAATTTTATTCTATTTAATTTATATTTTGTATTCTATTATCAAAACTACTTCATTATTGGTTGTATTTAAAATCAGCTACCAAAAAAAACTCAAAATACTTATATCACCAATAATGAATGTATTTTTTTTTCTACTTAAAGATATTAAATAAAATGAAAAAATCAAATTTGGATTGTGTAAATTAAGCAATTCATAATTAAATAGTTGATGCTTCTATTAATCTAAGCTAAGACAAAGAGGAAATGATCATAAAAAGGAATAAGCTATAAAAAATTATCAAACATTCAGGTGGATAAACTTTAATTTCTTACAATATTGTCTTAGATTCCTAAACAAAAACAATGAATGCAACAGTTTATGAAGATTTAATGAGCTTCATAGCCAATTATGTGAATTAATAAGATATGAATTTACTAATTTGTTTGTCTGATGCTTTAAGCTAAAATAAAAATAGATTACCAAAATATATATTGAAATATTCAATAATAGCTGATTTAGGTTAATATAAATAGATGTTTTAATAAATAGAATAAATATTGCTCATTATACATGAAAACATTGAAAAGATTTGTATTAATGCATATATCAATGGGGATAATAACTTAGAAAACGACCTTAGAGATTTACTTATACAATATAAAGAGATATTATGAATAAATATCCTTGTTAAGTTTTTGAAAATTTTTGATATATATATAAGGAGATTAATTTTAAAAAAAGTATATTTTCATGTATTTTAATTAAAATCATTTTTAGTAAAACTAATTAATTTTTATTCTACTTTATTTTCGATAGAATCAATAATTCAATATAATAACAATAATTCTACTTAAGTATTTGATTGACTATGTTGTGTTAATAATAAGTAAAATATAATTTATAATTACAAAAATAGATGAGATTAATATTAAAGCAAAGTCATCCAAAATGAATAAGTTTGAGTTATTAAACTTAATAAAAATACAAAAATTTGGATTAGAAACCCTTCTGGATAAATAGTGTATAAAATTAAAATTTGAATATAGATAAATGTTCATAAATTATAAGTAGAAAGCAATCTTTTACACAGTTAGCAAAAAAGTGAATAAAATAATGATTATTAAAAATAAATATAAAAACGGATTAAAATGTTGTCAAAAAGTCTAATAGTGTTGGTAATAGTAACAATGGCAATAGCAACAGAGAGTCCTGCACTTTAACAATTAAGAAATAAATTAGATTAAAATGATTATAATTCATAATTAGTGGAAATGTTAGAATTAAGTTTGGCTGGTGGATAATTGGATAGAGTGTTTGAATTATTATAAAAAATGGTTGATGATTTGACAGGATAAATAAATGCTGCAAATCTAGATCATGCATCAAGAATGGCTGGTTTTGAATAAAGTATTGAACAATTAGAAGCAAATTTGGCATCAATATAAAATGAAGTATAAACAAATAGCAGAAAGGTTGGTGAAATTACATAAGCAATTTCTACATTAACTTCTACAAGTGTAGCTGTAAAAAAGCAATTAGAAACAATAAATTAAAGAGAAGAATAAATAAGAGATAATAGATAAAAAGAAGTTTAAGCTATGGAAACAAAATAATCTGCAAGTTCAAAGATTTTAGCAGCTTTAGAAGAAATACATGATAGATTAGTAAAAGCAGTTCTTTCAAATACAGGATCATTTTTAGAAGAAAGTGAGAAAAAAGAAATGATTAAATAAATTAAAAAAGAATTAGGACATAAACATCCATTAGCATTATTATTAGAATTTTCATCTAAGTATAAATGATTAATTACAATTATAGATTCGATGAAGCTACTGCAAAAAGAGCTATTGAATTAATTGAATAAATTATTGAATCTATAAAAGAAGGATAACTTAATAGAGAAGCCAATCAAACTTCAGTTGAATAAAACTTTAATGCTTTAGTAAATGAAGTAACTGTTGTTAGAGATAAATTAGAATAAGATAATTAAAAAACAACTAGTGCTTTAAAAAATAAATAAAATGATTTGGTATATTAATTTTATATATAATAATTAGAAAATAATTCAAAGAAGAAATAAATAATTATATAAAAATTAAGAAAATACTTAATAATTATTAGAAACTATAAGAGTCTAAAAAGATTTATATGATTCAAACTTTAGATCCAATGCAAGTAAAAGAGAAGGTTAATTGAATTCGTTAAAGACTGCTTTATAAATTTTGAGAGACAACGAATAAGCATTGAAAAAATGATTTGATTTATTCACAAGAAAAAAACACGATAATTTTTTATCATCGATATATATCCAAATTCTTTTTAAATCAATCACTTGATGATGAGGATTCTTTTCCTTTTTTTGGTTTTTTTTATTTCTTCTTTCTATCTCTAGAAGATGAAGATGAAGAAGAACTTGATGAACTGGATGGACTTCTTCTTCTATGTCTTTTTACCTTTCTTTTATGACGTCTACATATAACTAAATATACCTTGAGCTTGAACTTGATGATCTTCCTTTTTATCTACAATTTCGAGCACTAATTAATTTTCATCAAATATTTACAAATGGCCTATTTTCCCACATTTATAACATTCACCATCTTTTTTTTTGGCTCTGGCTATCTCTACAACAAAAGTATTTCCATCTTAATCTTTTTAGTTCATTTCATTCACTGCTTCTGTAGCTTCTTCAGCTTTTGAATAAGCCTAATAAAATAGACGCTTATTTTACTATAAAACAAAAACGACCCTTCCAAGAGAATTCAATAATTTCTCCATACTTAGAAAAAAGACCTTTGATATCTTCTTCATTTTTATCTTTTGTTGAGTATCCAGTCACAAATATCCGATTTTCTGTTTTACTCTGTTCACTCATTGACATCCTTAAATTAATTAATTTATTTATTAATAATTAATTTTTTATTTATATATAATGGGATAGTGTTAAGTACCACAAATGTAATAAATTGAAGATGATTTTACAGCAATTTAAAAAAATGCAGTAACGCTCAAAGCAGTGCCTGAAAAACTGAATCAATTAGAAGCATAGATTAATGGTATTAAAAATACAGCTGATCAAGTAATATTTTCTTTAATCAAACTAGCTCACTCATTCAGTTAATAATATTATACAAACCATACAAAATATATAAAAGACTCTCCCATGATTGTTTTAATATAAATACAGTTAATATCATTTTCAATTAAATCCTTATGAATCTTGCTTTAAAAAATATGGACCTTCTTAGATGAATCCTCATATAATTTTAATATAATTTACTTCTTGAATATCCAAATGAATTTGAATAATTCATGCTGTCATTCTTTCTAAATAAATATTATCCTCTACAAAAAATAGGAGACCTAGGCAATCTGCTATTCTCATCCAATTATGCTTAAGAATGTTAATTATCTCTTTAATCTATATACTCAATCTTTTCTAATTAATTCTCACAATTATTGCATTAACAATTTTCATTGCATTTTTACTTATTTTAGAAACAATCGCAATATTTTTTTGTGCATTTTGACTTTTTGCATTTACAACTAATTCCTATAGGAACTTCTTTCTAATTTTATAATTATATAAATTATTACTTCAAAGGATAAATTTTGAATTTTTAATCTATTAATGGCCTCTTCTCTTTCTTCAATATATTCTTCACTATTATGACAACCTTAGCATTAACATTAATTAGTGCAAATTTATCCGTTTGCAAAACAATCACAATATTATTTTAAACACATTGATTTATTACATTTGCATCTTAATGATTTTGGAACATTTTAAGACTATTATTAATCCTTCAAAGACATAAATTGATGGAAATCCATAACATCGTAGAGTTTATTATCCTATCCTTATTATATGATATTAAGCATATCTAATATAATAGGTTTATTTCTTGTTTTATTTGCTTTAAAACCAACTGAGAATTATAGAATATAATACAGGTTTTTTCAATTGGATATGATTTTGTAATTTATAGTTTTTTAATACCTAAATTTTAGTGAAAATTTAGAATAGTTGGTTATTTGATTTAGTCTTCATTATCTATATCAATTCTTGTTATAATTGGATCAGCTATTGTTTCTATTTGCTATGGTTAAATTTCTAAAAATATAAAATATTTTTCAATATAAAATAGCATAACAATTTTAGATAGCTATCTTAATTGAATACCTATATTAATTTATGGAGTTTAAAGATGTATTTTAGAGCCTCTAGTCTTCATTAAAATATTTATATAATTATTTTACTTAAAATGACTATTTCTATAAATACACTACTCAACTAATTTATATTAGCATATATTCCGAAATAAAAACATGATCTTTAGATTATAACTAAAAATAATGAAATTTTATAATATAAAATTTGGAAATAGAGAATAATAAGTAATAAAGTTTAGAGTGGAATATATTTTGAGAGAGAGTAGGTCTTGAGAATAATTGAGATTGAATAAATTATTGATATAAATATTATTGATTCTAAAAAACGAAGATGATATAAAGTAGAAATCAATTTAATTAAAATTGTAAATATAAAAATAAACGAGGAATGTGATGATTGTAATAGAGTATATATGAATAAAGATAATACTTAATAAAGAATTGTAAATAATATTAATGTTAAAAAAATTTACGAGATTTCTTTTTTCACGTGAAAAGATTCAATATGACGTACTTATAGTTGGAGCTGGTCCAGCTGGTTTATCAGCAGCAATAAGAATAAAAGAGTTAGATCCTAATAAATCAGTAGTTGTAATAGAGAAATCTGGAAGTTTAGGAGGACATATTCTTAGTGGTAATTGTTTTTAACCAACAGCAATGAATGAATTATTTCCTAATTGGGAGAAAATGGAAAATGTATTATATCTTTAAAATAATAAATTAGAAACCTCCATTAGATACTCCAGTTACAGAGGATCACTTTCATATACTTTGGAATGAAAAATTAAGTTTTCAGATTCCACATATGTTTTATCCATCTACAATAAGAAATCATGGAAATTATGTAATTAGTTTAGGGGATTTATGTGTATGGATGGGTGAATAAGCATAAGCATTAGGAGTAGATATATTTACAAGTACTTCTGGGGCAAGAGTAATTTTTGATGAGAAAGATAGAGTGATAGGAGTAGCAACAGGAGATATGGGGATAGGAAAGAATGGAGAGAAGAAATCAAATTATTAAGAAGGAATAGATATAGAAGCTAATCAAACAATATTATGTGAAGGAGCAAGAGGTTCAATCACTGAAAGAGTAATCGAAAAGTATAATTTAAGAAAAGGTAATAATAATTAATATAAAAAGATTGTGAGCCTTAATCTTATGGAATAGGATTAAAAGAAATTTGGGAAGTTCCTCCTGAAGATTTTACATCAGGATTAGTATAACATACAGTTGGATGGCCTTTATGTAGAAATACTTATGGAGGATCATTTTTATATCATAAAAATAATAATTAAATACATTTAGGATTGGTTGTTGGATTGGATTATGAGAATCCAAATTTAAATCCATATTAAGAATTTTAAAATTTGAAAAGACATCCAAAAATTTAAAGATATATTAAAAATGGAAGTTGTATAAGTTATGGAGCAAGAGTATTAAATGAAGGAGGATATTTTTCAATTCCAAAATTAACATTTCCTGGTGGAATGTTAGCTGGATGTTCTGCTGGATTTTTAAATGTTATGAAAATAAAAGGATCACATAATGCTATGAAATCTGGAATGTTAGCAGCAGAAACTATTTGTGCTAAATAAAATTTAGAATCTGGTTAAGAATTAATTGAATATGAAAATGCAATAAAATAATCATGGATTTATGATGAACTTTATAGATCTAGAAACTTTAAAGGTTCATTTAAATATAATATTTATTCTGGCCTCTTTTATGGTGCTTTTGATGGTTTTATTTCTAAAGGAAGAGAACCTTGGAATATTAAATCACATGTTAAAGAAAGTGAATCATATTTAACTAAAGATAAAGCTCCATAAATTAAATATGAAAAACCTGATGGAAAATTAACATTTGATTTATTAGATAATTTAGCCAGAAGGTATATATAATAATAAGTTAAGTGGAACCAATCATGAACATGATTAACCACCCCATCTTAAAGTTATTAAAGAATCTGGACCTAAACAAAGTCTAGATTTATATGATGGCCCTGAATAAAGATTTTGTCCAGCTAAAGTTTATGAATTTATTGATACTAAAGAAGGCAAAAAATTGTAAATCAATGCTTAAAATTGTTTACATTGTAAAACTTGTGATATCAAAATGCCCAAAGATTATATCAGATGGACTATTCCAGAAGCTGGAGGAGGACCAAACTAGTAATTAATTTTAATATTATATTTAGTTCTGGCATGTGATTTTATTATTATTATATTATATTCATATCATCACAGAATTAAAATTACAATATATATTTTATATATGTCTATTTCAACGTAATCAATCAAATTTTGGAGTACGTCCTATACTTCTTTGATAATATTTAAGCATTCTCTAATCTTAATCATCCATCCAAGAATCCAATCCATTTTATTAATCCATACTATTATTCATTGCTTCTTCATAACTGATAAAATCAGCAAATTAATCAAATGTTTTTGAACTATATATTATTAATTATTTCACAATACCCAGATAAAAAAGCTATCAAATCTTCCAAACTTCTATGTGGTCTTGAATATGCTTCCAATCTATTCTTAAATAATATTTTATCTGCTTCAGCATCTAATCTTTCTAATTCCTTCTCACTTTCTACTTTTTTTGGTGCTACATATTTTGGATCATAATAGTTTGATTTTACCCAAATGAATGATCCAATCATCCCAGCAAAAAAGAAGAAGTTAAATCCTCTTAACTATCATTCATATTCATAATTTTATACACATGCTTCACTTCTAGCCATTCTAAATACAGTATCTTTCCATCTCAAAACACCTTTTGTCTTAAACATACCAATATCATCTTAATTAAATAATATGTTTGCCTTTCTATATATCAATATCTATTATAATATACCTCCAAACACGAAGATTCCAACTTTATTTTGAAAAGTTTTTATACCACATTTCCTAAATAAATAATAATTTTAATTATATTTTTATTATCATGCAAACATTATAAAATAATATCATTTTATTAATCTAATTATTTTTACTTATTTNGGCCCTGAATAAAGATTTTGTCCAGCTAAAGTTTATGAATTTATTGATACTAAAGAAGGCAAAAAATTGTAAATCAATGCTTAAAATTGTTTACATTGTAAAACTTGTGATATCAAAATGCCCAAAGATTATATCAGATGGACTATTCCAGAAGCTGGAGGAGGACCAAACTAGTAATTAATTTTAATATTATATTTAGTTCTGGCATGTGATTTTATTATTATTATATTATATTCATATCATCACAGAATTAAAATTACAATATATATTTTATATATGTCTATTTCAACGTAATCAATCAAATTTTGGAGTACGTCCTATACTTCTTTGATAATATTTAAGCATTCTCTAATCTTAATCATCCATCCAAGAATCCAATCCATTTTATTAATCCATACTATTATTCATTGCTTCTTCATAACTGATAAAATCAGCAAATTAATCAAATGTTTTTGAACTATATATTATTAATTATTTCACAATACCCAGATAAAAAAGCTATCAAATCTTCCAAACTTCTATGTGGTCTTGAATATGCTTCCAATCTATTCTTAAATAATATTTTATCTGCTTCAGCATCTAATCTTTCTAATTCCTTCTCACTTTCTACTTTTTTTGGTGCTACATATTTTGGATCATAATAGTTTGATTTTACCCAAATGAATGATCCAATCATCCCAGCAAAAAAGAAGAAGTTAAATCCTCTTAACTATCATTCATATTCATAATTTTATACACATGCTTCACTTCTAGCCATTCTAAATACAGTATCTTTCCATCTCAAAACACCTTTTGTCTTAAACATACCAATATCATCTTAATTAAATAATATGTTTGCCTTTCTATATATCAATATCTATTATAATATACCTCCAAACACGAAGATTCCAACTTTATTTTGAAAAGTTTTTATACCACATTTCCTAAATAAATAATAATTTTAATTATATTTTTATTATCATGCAAACATTATAAAATAATATCATTTTATTAATCTAATTATTTTTACTTATTTTAGTTATTTTAACTTAATATATTATACATCCCAAGTAATATTATTTTATATTTTTTCGATTGCTTTTAGATTTCTTTATTAATTTTAAAAAATACACTTTAATTTATTATTAATATAAATATGGGAGCATAGTAATGTTGTGGCTCATAAATGGTTATTCAGGCTTCTCAATCATTTTCTAATTAAATGTCTCAGGAAATTTAATTTACAAATGATATTGATGTATTCAGAAAAGCTGTCATTTAACCAATTAAACCTTTACCTCTCAACAGGCTCGAAAGTCTAAAAGAAGTTATGGATGATGATATTGATGATATTTTAAATCATTTTAATGAATTAGAAAAAGAATGAAAAACTTTAGCCAATCCCTATAAGCCTTTTGATGTTTTAATTCATGAATCAAAAATTAGATACTAATTATTTTTCATCTATATATTTTATGTAAAATTTTCTAAAAGAACATTGTTCTAAATTTTAAATAGTCATTTTAAATTAATATTGTATATGTTAATTCAAAATTTTGTTGATTACACAAAATTATAAAAGATAGCCTTGCTAATATATCAATAATTGTTAAATTATATTTTAAACTTTTGATTTGGCATGGAATTATTAAAGAAGAAAATAATATATATACTTTATATTTGCTAAAAATTTTAATTAATCATTTTCATAATTTTTATTCTTTTGATTTCGTTTATGATGTTCACATTTTTATATTAATCCTTAACTTAATAAACTCATAAAAAAATAACAGGCAAAAATATTTTTTAATGTTTAATTGGTGAATAGCTTTATAAAATAACAATCTATTCAAAAAGCATTTTTGCTGATTTTTGAGATAGAATAGTATCAATTTAATTTAATTTTTCTTTATTTAAATAAGAAACTATTAATAAATGTAATAAATGGAATAAGAGGAATATGAAGTAATAAGAAAATTAGGTTAATACCTATTTATTAAAAAAATAGGTCAAGGATTTACAGGAACAGTATGAATGATATTTATAAATAGGTATACAAAGCTTTTGACATAAAAGAAAGAAAACTAGTAGCAATAAAAGAAATAAAAAAAACTAATAAGAATATGGATGAAGAAAAATTAAGAAAATTTATTCAAAATGAAAAAACGATATTATATCTCTGTAAATCAAAAGAATATTAAAATATTATTCAAGTGATTGATTCATTTGTTACTAAAGATTCAGACTATATTGTTTTAGAATATTGCTCATGTATAAAAATAAAATTTAATTTTAAGAAAACTTATCTTAATATGTTGACACATTAAAATAAAGTTAGGTGAACAACACCTAGTATTTAAGTGAATAACATGCAATTAATATACTAATCTAAATTAATTAAGCTATGATAAGGTATATTATCAATTGATATATTATATAGTTTGCATGAAAATTTTATCTATCATAGGGATTTGAAACCTGGAAATATTCTAATTAAATAAGGTGAAATTGATGAGATTAAAATTTCAGATTTTGGTTTTTCAAGAGTCCTTTTAGAAGAAGATCTGCTTAAAACAGGTTTAGGAACAAAAAATTACATGGCCCCTGAAATTAGAAAAGGAGAGATTTATAATCCTAAACTATCAGATATGTATTCTTTAGGTGTCATTTTATATGAAATTCTTTGTAATCATCCTCATCAAATAGATGAAGAATTTAATTTTAATTTAAATCCTTCTCTAAGTGAAGACATGAAGAATTTAATTATTTTAATGACTAAACAAAATCCATAAGAAAGATTGAAATGGGAAGATTTAGGAAACTAAAATGCATTAAAAAATCTTAACTAATATACATAAGAATTAAATAAATATTATTTAAAATTGTGGGAAAATAAAATTAATGTCTTAAACTGTTGTTTAAGTGATATTGAAAAAACTAAACCAAATCACTAAAATTTAAAAGCTACTTTAGAGGTATTTGAAAATTAATTATTAAATAAAACATATAATGAGATTGATATACAATTAAAAAGGATTGAACGTTTAGACTTTGAAGTAAATATCAAAGAATAAAAAAAAAAAAAATTTCTAAAGGATTAAGAAGAAGTATAAAAGAAAATATTTGATCTGTCTAATTCAAAAAGTATTATTGAAAATAGAGATTATAATCAAGAAAAATAGAATTTTGAAAATTTTATTAAAAAAAAAGAATAAGAAGTAGATGAATTGAAGAAAAAGAATTAAGATGATGAATTCATAATATAAAAAGAAATCTTAGATGAACTTAAAAGTTTAGAATATAAAGTGAAATTTTGTGATGACTTTGATAATGATTTTGTATTTTTATGTAATATTATTAGTTCAATGTATTTGCAGAATAGAAAATAAAGAATTGTTATCAATAGAAATTTGATATGCTATTAATGTAAACATAATATGGTTTAGGGTAAATAAACAATTTTTTCCGAAGTTTGTAGTTACACACATATTAAAGTCTTAGAAATGAATCCTAAATTTTAATATAATAAAATTCATGAATCAATCATATTTATTAGAAAAGAATAAAAGAATTGTTTAAAAATCATAATCGCTTTAATTCTAGTATATTTAAATTGTATTTTCAATTGATATAAATTATATTTTATTATATAAATATTGATCTAAATGGGCTGCAATAGTTCAAGAAAAAATCTTTAAGAAAAGAGTTCTTTAAATAGTAAGGAGTTAGAAAAATGTAATGAGAAGTTTAAGAAATTGTCATCAGTTGCCCCAGGGTAATTGAAATAAATATAAATTAGAAAAGCTGAATAATATATTGCTATTGAAGGTTTTAGAACAGCGTTTTCAGAAAATGCATAATTGGGTGATAAAATTTATAAGTTTATTAAAAGTTAGAGTGAAACAAATATAGTAAATAGAGAAACTTTTGTTTTATCAAGTAATTATATTAAAAACGATAATTAGTGGAACTATTTACAAAATAGAAATCAGAGATATATGTTTATACAAATAATTATAAGCATTTGGAATAATATTAATTATTATTATTGATATCTATTTAACATCCTGAAATATACAAGAAAGAAGAATTTAAGTTATAAATGCTTACTAAAGTTGAAATAACATTTTTATAGGCAGGAATATTTATTAAAGAGATTATAAATATGTTGAGTCCAAAAGGTAATAGATTAAGTGAAGATGATGATGTAGCAGCTAAACTATTAATCAATAATATTTTTGGAGGTAATTTAAATTGTTATTTTATATAGATAAAACAAGTAATATGGATTTATAATAATTTTGTAATTAAATAAAAATGGAAGTTCCTTTAATTAATACAGTTATAAGGAGATATTTTGCAGGAAAATTTACAGATTCTTCTCACAAGATAAAACTTCCAGAATTAACTGATAATTCTCTTATAATTAATTATTAAATATTAGGCTTATTTTATTTAAGCACACCATGGTTTTATTAAACAAAAAAATTGAATTTGTTATTTGCTTATTAAGAAGGTCAAGATTAATTTGATTTAAACCTTTTATCAAATTAATTGTTATCTTAAAATTGTCCAACTCTAATATTATTTAGACATGTTGAACGATTAAATAAATATGAAAAATTGCCATATTAACATTCACCAGATGAAAATTTAGATGCATTTGAATAACATTATTTATTTGGATATTTTAATTCATCAAGATGGAGATTAGCACCAGATATAACTGGAGATAAGAATTCATCAATATTTTCTATAGTTCCAAAATATTAATAATTTATAACAGGTAAAGGAAAAGGACAAAGCAAATATGCTTTATTAAATAGTGATTAAGGAAGACCATTACCTTAGTCATTATAAAAGAAATTAAATAAATTTGGATTAGGTATTGGAGGTAGTGGATATGAATAACATAGAATTTGGATAGATGGTTCAAATTTGAAAGATAGCTATATAACAGATGATGATAAAACTTTTGCAACTGGACATATATTAGCTCCTCATATAACAAAATTAAATATTGATAGAATTGAAGTTTGGAGTGTTGAATTTATCTCATCTTAGCAAGATCTATCTCATTTTAGATAAACACAAATGAATCAGTAAATTAAGTCTTCTTATATTTTAAAGCATTAATTAATTATTGGAAGATGAAATTCCTAAATAAAATGTTGATCCTGGATCCCTTATCAACTCTATTAAAAATAGAAATTCAAGAATTCAATCAGCTATTCATACATAATAGGTAGAGGAAGAGAAATTTGCATAATGAATATGATAATCAAAAAGATATACATAATGTAATACAATTGTCATCATTTAATAAATTAAATCGATATATTCAATTTTTTAGTTTATGAGTCTTAGTATGTAAAATCTAAGTGTATTTTGTTTACTGATTATAAAGATGATCTATTGTTAATTCTAAATATTTAAATTATGATTTATAAATCATATATCAGAGATATCAAGTATTTATTTAAAATTATTTTCAGGGTAAATTTTTATTTTTTCTCGTTTCTTTTTAAGGTTCATGTTGATCTAAAATTTTATTCTCCTCTCCTTAATTCGTAAAATGATATTGATATGAAACTAATTATAATTATTGAAATAAATAATCATATAATTTTATTATATGTTAAAACTTCTTTTACAAAGTGATCATATTTATGAGTTTTTTATTATTTATTATAAGAAATTAGTTTCATTCTGGATATTCAGTCTAATTTTTATTATTTTTTTTATTCTTCCTTCTAGCTCTTTTAAAAATTATTTACTGGAATCCTATAATTAAGTTTTGAGAATAATTTTGGGTTAATTGTAAATTTAATTTTGACTAGTTTTAATATTTTTATTTATGGTATCATTTCTGTTATCATTTTTTCATATGTTTCAACTTATTCAATTTTTTTATTTACTTTTCTGAATCTTCTACGAAAGATTTTAGTAGTCCAAGATTTTGCAAACTTCTTCTTCGTTTTTGATCCTTATCCTTTTTTTTTCTATTTTACAACTTTAGATTTAATTAAATTATTAAGGGCTGCTATTTGAGTTATAAGATAATTTATTCTATCTTCAGATTAATAACATGCTTATATTTATATATAATTCTAAGTAATGACCCATAATTACCATGCCTTTAGATTCTCTTTCTCTTAATAATTTTTCATATTATTTAATTTATTATTATTACTAGGATAGTGATTTGCTTTGAGCAGTTAAAATGAATTTATATGTCCATTTAAAAATTCATTGAAATTATCTTTTATATTTATTTTAGGTTTGATAAAGTTGATGATATCATCTTGAGTTGGATAAAGTAATTATGTTATTTATTGGAAGATGGAGAAAGTTTAGAAAAATCTTCAGATTCAGTTTTGACATGAGAAAATGTATGATATTCATTATATTATTAAAATAAATGCATTTTTTTGGTCATGAGGAAATCAACCTTCTTGAAGTATATAATATTATTAATTTAATTCCTTAAGGCAGCATAAGATGGAAAACTAGAATTTATCAAGTAATAATTAGCTTCTTTGACCTCAAAATAACTTTAAGAAGCTTGCAAGAAATCTGATTATTATGGAAGAAATGCATTACATTATGTAATAAAATGCTTTATAAAGGCTGCTTATAGAGGACATTACGAAGTAGTAGAATACTTTCTAGATTTACACTGTTTAGATTTGAATTCTACTGATAAATAAGGTAATCTATGCTTACGAAAGATTTTATAGGGAATTCTGCATTGATGTTAGTTTGTGTTAGAGGATATAATTAAGATTTTGAAGAATTTAAAGAATAAACTGATTCTACAGATTAAAATGATTTTCGAAAATATAAAATATCAAGATTATTATTGCAAAGAGGTGCCACTTTATAAGATTATTTGAAAGATCATATAAATAATCCATTACATTGGGCATGTTACTTTGGAGATTTAAAACTTGCTAAATTATTTTTGTAATATAGTCCTGATTTAAGTAAAATTTACATATAAAATAGTGTTGAAAAAAAATGACAAGAATTAATTTCCAATTGATGTTGCATTGACAAACGGAAAAGATTCAGAACGTCAAAAATAGGTAGTAAAATACTTAATAGTGAAATTCTTAGCTCATTTCTTAAATAGCGAATAATAAATTCTCTAGCTCTAATCAATGAATTACGATTTGGAATAGAGCTATATGGATACAATTTAAGGATAAAAAATTAATTGTTAAATAATTGATAGAAAAATGTATGAAAATGTAGGATTGAACTATTTATTTTGGGCAAGTGTACTTGGAGATAAGGATTTAGTAATCCCTTTTTTAAAATAATAATTTTCTGCTTTTGCACCATCATATAAAGGAAGAAATGCTGTTCATGCTGCTGCTTATTAAGGACATGATGAATTAATATAACTGTTTTTTGAATAAAGTTATTGTGGAAACAAAAAAATCAATCTTAAAAAACTTGTTAATATTATGACAATTGAAAAATCTTAAACAGCATTACATATTGCAGTTGAATAGGTGTAATTTATACTATTATTTAGAGAC